AAAACATTGCTTTTACGGGGTTAATTCCGACCAAAAAAGATACATTTTGGCTTTACTGGGGACAGTGTCAAGACATAGGATATCTGTTTACACACCGTCAAACTTTTTTACCACATGGATATAGAGGAGAAGAAATGTCTGAATGCAAAAATGCGTAATTCTATGCTTTTTGTAGAAACTATTTAAACAAAATAAAAGTTTGAGATGGCGTGGATTGATCCCAATGCATATATGCTACCAACAATTGTAATAGACGTGTATGCATTTTGCATGCTTACAACTAGGCAGAGAATCATTCAAGTAATGATTACACTTTCAGCTGAACCCTGGCCTGTCCTGTGAAATAACCGAGAGCAAGGACTGTAAGACGAAGATGCGGATGAACAAGAGGCATCTCAATTTGGTTTTATGAAAAGCAAAGACAAGGAGGTACTGACAAGTGAAATAAGAATTGCCACAACTGATTAACAGGTATGTATCTGTATTTAAAGACACTTTTGAAAATGTTGAAATACATGGGCTGTTCCATTGAAGACTGATTGTACCAAACAAAACGTGACATGCACGTGTTTACGCAACACCAGATAATAATGAAAGGAGAACGGTGTAAGTTCAAAGATTGTGTGCAATCATTAGCCTGCAGAAGCATTGATAGTTTATCATGCCAGATTATTGGAAAAAAGTGTATCTGAGTAAATAAATACACAATACTTTTAACTATGCTCAACTGCTGGTAAATAACTGTCAACCAGAAGGTCAAATGTGACCCTGAAATATTATACATTATTTTTGCATCCCAAAACTTACATTGTTTCACATAAATACAAAACACAGCATTCAAATACATCAGACATAACAAAAAGTGGTTTAAGTGCAGACCATTTAATCCCCCCTTTTACATTGAATGTTTGACTCTGAGTCCTACGTGGATCCAAAACTTAGGAACCAAAGTTCTTTAACCTTGTCAGTTCAACCCAAGGGTTTAAATCATCTGTGTGATGGAAAAACCTAATATCTTTTGAACTGAAATGAGAGGGGTCTGCTCTAATATTAGTAGAAAGAAAAGTAATCTTTTAGTAGCCATTACGTAGTTTGAAACTGTGACTCAAATATGTGACCCAAAACCTTTGAAAAGATTCTTAGAATATGAGCCGTCTAGCTTCAAGATGAACGGAGAGAAAACGGATTACATACTGCAAACCACTTTGTATTGGAAAATTGAAGTGTAGACAATTAGTCAATTATTTCAGTATTCAACAAGAAAGGTCAGGACATGGAGTCACGCCACCCTATTATCCTTGCACATTAAAACATTTGACAAACTGTCCAACTTTGTATGAGGAACAATTTACGGTCAGGGAAAGTGCTTAGTCTGTAGCCAAAACAGTTATTACAGAGTGTACCGAGAAAGGCTTTAACCTAAACACAATCAAAGAGCCATGTGATGAGATGCAGCAGTATTATATTTGATATTTACATCTGTTCCATGCTTAATGCGTTTCTAACTTAATAGAATGGAAATCATGTTGCCATGTTTAATAGAACAGCAGTGTAGTAAATATTTGCCACGCACTTAGTATTTAATTATTATTTCATAGACAAATTCATACTATCGTATTAAACCACTCTGTCTTTAGTCCATAGTGTTGTCTGTTATCAGGGTCCTAGCAGTTAAAGGGGGAACTCCGGCGGTTTAACTAGGAGTTACAAGGAGCAGTGGGCAGCTATTGTATGGCGCAATGGGAGTGGGGGGGGGGTGTCCGGTGCCTTGCTCAAGGGCACCACGGCAGGGCCCAGGAGGTGAACTGGGACCTCTCCAAGTAGCCACACTCCATATTTGAAGTCTGTGCGGGTACTTGAACCGGAAACCCTACGGCTCACAGTCCAAGCCCCTACTGACAGATAGGAGCAGCTCGGGGTGCACACAAGCTGTAATCATAATCACGATTATTTTTGGTCAATATTGATATCACGATTATTAAATACGATTATTCATTGACTTTGATGTAGAATGTGATGGCATCTGTTATATTTGCGAGCTGGATGAGTAGGCCGTTGCACTGTTTAACGGGCAGCGGAGCCGCTGTCTGTAGAGAGAGAGAGAGAGACGCTGAGCTGCACCAATCAGCTGAGAGAGAGGCTGAGCTGCACCGATCAGCTGAGAGAGAAAGAGGCTGAGCTGCACCGATCAGCTGAGAGAGAAAGAGGCTGAGCTGCACCAATCAGCTGAGAGAGAGGCTGAGCTGCACCGATCAGCTGAGAGAGAGAGAGGCTGAGCTGCACCAATCAGCTGAGAGAGAGGCTGAGCTGCACCGATCAGCTGAGAGAGAAAGAGGCTGAGCTGCACCGATCAGCTGAGAGAGAAAGAGGCTGAGCTGCACCAATCAGCTGAGAGAGAGAGAGACACTGAGCTGCACCAATCAGCTGAGAGAGAGGCTGAGCTGCACCGATCAGCTGAGAGAGAAAGAGGCTGAGCTGCACCGATCAGCTGAGAGAGAAAGAGGCTGAGCTGCACCAATCAGCTGAGAGAGAGGCTGAGCTGCACCGATCAGCTGAGAGAGAGAGAGGCTGAGCTGCACCGATCAGCTGAGAGAGAGGCTGAGCTGCACCGATCAGCTGAGAGAGAGAGAGGCTGAGCTGCACCAATCAGCTGAGAGAGAGGCTGAGCTGCACCGATCAGCTGAGAGAGAAAGAGGCTGAGCTGCACCGATCAGCTGAGAGAGAGAGAGACACTGAGCTGCACCAATCAGCTGAGAGAGAGGCTGAGCTGCACCGATCAGCTGAGAGAGAAAGAGGCTGAGCTGCACCGATCAGCTGAGAGAGAGAGAGACACTGAGCTGCACCAATCAGCTGAGAGAGAGGCTGAGCTGCACCGATCAGCTGAGAGAGAGAGAGGCTGAGCTGCACCGATCAGCTGAGAGAGAAAGAGGCTGAGCTGCACCAATCAGCTGAGAGAGAGGCTGAGCTGCACCGATCAGCTGAGAGAGAGAGAGGCTGAGCTGCACCGATCAGCTGAGAGAGAGGCTGAGCTGCACCGATCAGCTGAGAGAGAGAGAGGCTGAGCTGCACCAATCAGCTGAGAGAGAGGCTGAGCTGCACCGATCAGCTGAGAGAGAGAGAGAGAGAGAGAGACGCTAAGCTGCACCGATCAGCTGAGAGAGAGAGAGGCTGAGCTGCACCGATCAGCTGAGAGAGAGAGAGAGAGAGAGAGACGCTAAGCTGCATCGATCAGCTTAGAGAGAGAGAGAGAGAGAGAGAGAGAGGCTGAGCTGCACCGATCAGCTGAGAGAGAGAGAGAGAGAGAGACACTAAGCTGCACCGATCAGCTGAGAGAGAGAGAGGCTGAGCTGCACCGATCAGCTGAGAGAGAGAGAGAGACACTAAGCTGCATCGATCAGCTGAGAGAGAGAGAGAGAGAGAGAGAGAGAGAGAGAGAGAGAGAGAGAGAGAGGCTGAGCTGCACCGATCAGCTGAGAGAGAGAGAGAGAGAGAGAGAGAGAGGCTGAGCTGCACCGATCAGCTGAGAGAGAGAGAGAGACACTAAGCTGCATCGATCAGCTGAGAGAGAGAGAGGCTGAGCTGCACCGATCAGCTGAGAGAGAGAGAGAGAGATGCTAAGCTGCATCGATCAGCTTAGAGAGAGAGAGAGAGAGAGAGAGAGAGAGAGAGAGAGAGAGAGAGAGAGAGAGAGAGAGGAGAGAGAGACTCTCAGCTTTGCGACCAATCAGAGCACACTGGGCTCACAGGGAGCTACTATGAAAGTAGAGTGATAAACAACTATTTTATTCAAAATTCGAATTTACAAATTTTCATTTTAGACATGAATTTCACATTTATATACAGTGTAATTCATATATTTCACTACTTTTATGATCCTAAGACTTTGGTAAACCAAATGTAAAACACCAAAACAATTGGATGACATGAGGAAATCTGTGTTTTCACAAGAGTTTTGAAGATTTCCAAAAATCGGATGTCAAATGTTATCAAATGATCTCATCACACAGTGCTAAGGTGAGTGACTTGCCTTTCTAGCAAGACCAGAGACTGTCCTGAACATTTTTGATGTAACACATGCAGAGGTGCCATGTTATAACAAGTACAGTTAAAATAAGATTTAAAGAGACATCTAAAAATCGAGAAAATACCCTCCAGAGGGTTAAAGCACACATCAGAGAAAAACTAAAAGGCATGAACAAACTAGATCCACATGGATGATGCTATGTGACTAGCCATGTTTAGGAAAGTAAACACAGTTGTCCAATGAAGGCTACAGGATAGAGATCAGTAAGCATAATAAGGTGGTTGTCTAAAACAGGTACATCCTTTCTAAAATAATAGACTGCATCAAGTTCTGTGGTGCCTTTGAGCTAGCCCTGCGTTGTTATACGAAATAGGTTTTTACTTTGAGTATACGTTTGCTTCCATTGTGGTAGAGCCCCCACTGGAGAACAGGTTAAGAAGGCACTGAATGGTTTAGGGCCAAAACACATTTCTGATCTGCCACATTATAATCCCTACCAGGTCCGCTACAACTTTAACTTCTTTAAATGAAAATGTAAGACTTTTTCTTTTTGCCTCTGCCTTTTATTAAATAAAAAAACTATTAATATCCTGCACTGGGTTCCAACTTGTATTCTTGTATTTTTATACCTGTCTTGTTCTGTTTGTATTGCTATTCGCTTGGCATTTTATTATGAGTTTCATTTGCACTATGTATTTATGATAAACCAACATACTTCACACATGTATCACTTTAACGCTTCGTTTACTGACACAAGATTAGTGTATAACGGACATGTTCTATAGACAGACCCTCAGCACACACGCGAACATGTCATTCATTGAGCTGCAGTGACTGCTAGCGACACTAACTGTTAAAATCGGCATGACGGTACCAGAACCCAGAGTTCGCGCGGTCCTGTGTCATGTTTAACGTTAATAACCAGAACACATGCTCCTACTTCATGCTACAACCACGTGCACCAACGTGAGCCTACCCGGTAAACTCGAGCCTCCAGTGACGTCAGGCTTCAGAAGTGTTGTAACCGTCTTCATATGAACACCGCGTGGGTTCAGCGGTCTGACAGCCTGAGCTCGGATTGTCCTCTGCACTGAAAGGACCCTCGGCATCGAGACAACACATCACTGGGATACTCGATGGGATGTGCGCGGGGGGTCATGCGGTGAAGGACCGCCCACTCTCCTTGACACCCTACTGGGTGTTGCCTTCACGTGCTCCTCGTAAACTAGCCCTCACCAGCGGAAAACGTGCTGCCAGTTGTTTCAACTACACTGAATATAAACGTTACAGTTTAGTCAAGACACGTTTACTTTCAAGTGAAAGTGGTCGGTTCATCTTATTCATGACGTCAGTCTGTTAACCGCTGCTCCTGGGGGCAGAGAGCATCATAGTAAAAGACAAATAAATCTCCATGGCAAGTCCTTTATTTGGTAGATTTAATGACGGTCTGCAGAACACCAACACACCACTGTCTCTTTCTTACCTGTTGTTTTCTAAATCCATCCGACAGGAATATCGTCGACCAGGGAGCACATCATTCAGTGACCGCCTCAGTCCCAGTGCGCACCGCTGAAGCGCAGCTGCATCCCCCTCAACTTCCCTGCTGACTCAGGTCTCATTGAATCGAGTGACACTGACACCAGGGGAGGAGGCTGTGAAAGCATCGCCATCTACTGCCCCATTTCCTCATAATAATAAACCCTAATCCTAATCAATGTGTTTTTTTTTGTTGCTGTTAAGGAAACCATTGTGTAATGTTGCTTTCCCGTTGATCAAATCTACAGGTGAGTATAGAGTATTATTATACATTTGGGCTAGCAGTGGCGCAGGGGATCCACAGATCAGGTCCCCTCTGGAAACCAGTGACAACTCATCTTGTGTCAAACATATTTCATTGAAAAAAAAAAGGGTTTATTGTAAATACAACATATTAACAATCGTTAACCAATATTAACACACTGAAAACTATTAAATGATTTTTTGACAGATGGACTGCGAGTCCAGTCTGACTTGTATTTCCTTGTGATGTCTCTTAGCTTGGAACCAGAAAAAAGGCCTTACAGATATATTTATATGAAATAGGACTCGGGGTGAAATACATGAGCTTCTCTGCCAAATAAACAAACCAAACACATTTTTTAATATCTTGTTTTGTTGGCATTTGCTTGGTAAGAAATAAAGCATCCTTATAGATTCGGCAGAGTGTCCATCTTGCATTGGTGCCTCAGTTGAGTTGTCTGATTATAGCATTAATGTCTGTATTGCGAAATCCAGGATTTCCGAGGTCCTTCAGAAGCCCAGCCTTATCCTTGGCAGCGTGACGAGCCACTGACAGCTTGAATGGCAACAGGAAGTTGTTGGCAGCCCGGAAGCCTTTACCAACCAAGTAGATCTCGTGAATCAAGTCCTCCAAACAGATGATACCATGTTTACCTGGGGAAAAGTGGTAGAGGAGTTGAGTAATGGGAAGGAGTGTCAAACGGACAGACCGAACATGCTATAAGCTATGAAGAAATGCTTAACAACTTCTGTATTATTTATACAGCTTAATATTATTATTTATTTAATTATTTAATGTAAACCTTTACAACTATTTGCTCGATGCTATACTATATTGCTGACGACACGACCGCCTGATCACCGACGGCAACGAGACGGCGTACAGAGCGGAGGACAGAACCCTGATATCTTGGTGCCAGGAGAACAACCTCCATCAACGTCAGCAAAACCAAGGAGCTGATTGTGGATGATATGAAGACAGAAGGGACAGAAGGACACGCCCCCATCGCCATCATAAGGAATACAGAGGAGAGTCAGCAGCTTTAGGTTTCTCGGCGTTGACCTCACTGATGCCCCTTTCACACCAACGCGTTTTCAGCTCCGGCTCGGAGCTGGAGCCTGAAAAGTGCCGGTTTTTCCTGTTCACACCGCAGCGGCGCCGCCTCTTAGCTCCGGAATCCGGTTCACTTCCAGCTCCCAAAAAATGGTCGGCCTAGAGGCAAGAGCTTCGGAGCTAAGAGGTGGCGTCGCTTACGTCTCTCTTACGTCGAGGCGTGCAGGAAACTAAACCCACCTCCCCTGAACATGGGTCGACTGTCATGCCTGCCTACAAGCATTAGTGCTTATAAACACACTTTATAAAGTCAGGCAACACTAACCAGGCTTCGTGTGATTCTGTTTATTTGTACCTTACTTTGACCATCTGTTCACTGTTATTGATCATTGTGGAGAGAGGCAGACGTGTTGTTTTGTATTGTAGCAGCTATCGGATGGAATCAATACATGGGCTGCACAGGTTGTCGTGTCCGACTATCACAAGTAGAATCATAATAAAAATACGCCGGTAAAATGTGCCTGAAGAAAACGGCTTATGCCACAATAGGATAGCAATAGCAAGTAGTCAGTTTAGCTTTGGTTGCTATGCTAACATCACCCATTTTATACCAGAGAAACTTTCATAACAGCGTTGTGATACCAAACAGCGTCAATTCAGACTGACACACATTCACTTAGGCTAAGGGGAACTGGGGATATGTATCAGCTGCTTGTGTGAGTTGGACAGTGAATACTTTAAAGCTGCAGTGTGAGCTAACCGGGAGCTAACGGAGGAGAATAAACTCCCGTGGAAGAGCAGCCAACACTGCAGCGGTCGGTAAATGCCGCAGAAACACATGAATAAACAATGAACCACGGCACTCTGGAGAAAAGCATAAGGTTGGAGAAGTCGTTATTTAATTTAATCTGGCTTCGTGTGATTAAAAGCAACATGATCATCGACCCGACGCAGTTCCCTGTTGTTGTGAGCGCCGTAATGCCGTTGGGGAGCAAATCAGCGATGTAAACGGTGACGTCATGACGCAGCAGCGGCAGCACCCAGTCGGGCTCTGGGCGGTGTGAACAGAGCGGGAGCAGAAAAGGGAAACCGGAGCTGAACCAGAAAAGCTCCCGCTCGGAGCTAGAAAGGGAAAAGCGCTGGTGTGAAAGCCGCATGAGTCACATGTTCATCACAACCGTGGAATCACCCAAGTATCTCGACAGCGGCTCTTCTTCCTCCGCGGGCTGCGGAAATTCAATCTGATCTCCAGGATACTCTGCAACTTCTACACTTGTACTATGGAGCGTATCCTGACCAGCTGCATCCACTTGTTTTTTATTTTAGAACAAAATGCAGTGTTTTGGGCCACGAGTTTCATTTGACTTTGTTTTTGGCATATCTTATTCAATATAACCTATCTATAATTTACTTATTTCTGCACTTACTTGCACACAACTCACTTGCAACATCTTGTTTATATTTTTAATTGCAATCTTAAATTGCTTTGTTGGAGTAGCCTGGGCCGTACGATTTTTAATGCCAAAGCTACACTGTAGCTATTTTTTCACTAGGGATAGTGCAAATACAAATACATTTTTTTAATCCTTTAAAGCCTTAGAATGCTATACCTTCAAGTATTTCAGCACACATGCTTTAAATGATCCTTTGAGTGGATCGAATGTAACAATCAGTGGTTAGCACTCACTGATGAGCATGATGGAAACTTTAGCCTGATGCAGGGCTCGACAGTAACGGTTGCCATTGGCAACCATTCAGAAAGAAATATGGACAGCAAACAGCAAAATGTGCACCCCAAAATAGATAAATGTTCATCATTTGTTATAATAAGAGTGATATTTAATTATTGTTGTGACCAGTTGGAACCTGATACTTAAGTTGCACGTGCATTGGTGTGATTACGGAGCCAGAAAGCGATGCATGTTTACTTGCGTGCGCGGTGCGCCTTGTTTGTTTTACAAAAAATGGCGAAGCAAATTAAGTTGATTGACCGTGGGGTAAAAAGTTCAGCCAACCCGTCAACATCTCAAACGAATGTTCAAAGTGATTCAACTGATAAAGCGCAAGATGAACCTGAACAAAAACAAAGAGGAAATGGGTAAAGTCTTGGGAGGCGAAATATATATGTACATTCTGCTTCGTTGTGCATTCACTTCCTGTAAAAGTTCCTTCAAAATAAGAGTCCCGATCTTATTACTACCAAAATAAAAGTGCTAAACAAAACTTTACCATAGGAAAATATTGGCATACAAATATAATCACTTCTATAAAAAGGTAACACATTTTAAATATAGTTAGACATATTAAAGGTAATTTACAGCATTAATAATTAATATCTAATTCTTAACTATGAATGGTTTTAATTTATTTAACATTAGAAATGTATTAGACTGGCCAATCTAATACCTCATTAACACCAACGGTGTTTCAGGGCCTGGTTCGGAGCTGGAGCTTGAAAAGCACCGGGTTTTCCTTTTCACACCGCAGCGGAGCAGCCTCTTAGCTCCGGAATCCGGTTCATTTCAAGCACCAAAAAAGTGTCCGGCCAGAGCAAAAGCACCACATACGTCACGCTTACGTCGAGGCGGGGGCAGGGACAGATCAACTCCTGAACAACAACAAGAAGCCCGCGTTTTATCCAGTTTGTACAACGATGGAGAAACTTAACAAGAGTTTCAGAGTTTCTGCCATAGACTGTATATATAAAGGTTTCTGCTCATGGTGAAGCAACGTGTCTGCGTGTTAAGGTGGAACCTGAGCATTCACGTTGATCACCTCTCATTATAAATCTATAAAAATTAAACTTTACTTCACGTGTTCATTTGAGAACAGCTGTTACATACCTGGGTGAAGGTTACAGTTCATTTAAATGAAAGATACAACGTTACTCCACACTCATGGTTCAGTCCACCTTTAAAAATAAGACCGACCGCGGAAGCAGTTGTGTTTTAAAAAAAACTTTATTGACACGAGTACACTTTTTTATAAGAATATAACTAAACCACAGACAGTGTTTCCCACAGATCTGAAATATACTTGGGCGGGTGGTGGCACCGGCCGGGCAGGGGGGGGGGGGGGGGGGATTTGCGCAAAAAAAAAAGTTTTAATTTTGTATAATCATTTTGCGTAAAGATGGCACTCAAGGGCACACTAGTGGTGGTGTTCCTGGCGGGATTTGAACTCACAGCCTTCCGATCTTCAGCCCACCTCACTATCCATTAGATCAATCACTACCCTCTCAAATGGAAATATGTGTTTACATAAATGGTGACCACACTGTTTGAGACCCACTGAGAACTTAAACTAAGTTAACTATCTAAACCAGTGGTCCCCAAACTAAGGCCCGCGGGCCGGGTACGGCCCGCCTCCACATTTGGCCCGGCCCCCTGAACAATACCAGAGACGCATTATGATTTTTTTTTTTTTTTTTTTTTTCAGTCTGGCCACGCGAATCCTAGACTAGCCCCTGTCAAAATGTTGTGACCTGCTCTATCGAAATCAGTCGCATTGACCCGAAGACACCTTTTGAGTTGTATACACTGTTGGAAAGAGGATATTCCTAGCTTTCTAATGATATCAGGATTGTTTTTGTACTTCAAATATTAAGCGAAATATGTCACATTATATAATGACTGTCACCGAGTCCTCATTTTGAGAAACAGGCCTTCAAAGTTGTCTCTTCTCTGGAATCCATCGATCCGATTGATTATTAGCGGAGCAAATGATCAAAATACTACCGAGGGAAGATATTTTCGTTTGGAGGGGAAGCTCGCGAGTGTGTGTGTATACGTGTGTGTGTGTGTGTGTGTGTGCTTGTGTAATTTTGCGTTTGTGTGTATTGTGTTTGTTTCCCGGGGAAAACACTCACGAGAAACACCGGCTGTTATTATGCCTGCCGTTCTCCGCTTGTAATTATGCTGAAGCTTCAACGTTGTATTTATCATCTGAATTTGCCGAAACAAGTTTAATATTCTGAAAGCCAAGACTTTGTTTAATTGAAATCAGATGAAAACAAACTGTAACGGACCCTGCAGTGTTATCTATGATTACTATACTCTTACATTCATAATTTCAGCGGAGTTAAGGGGGGGGGGGGGAGGGGCGGCGCTGCGGAAGAGCAGATTGCGAGTGAGAAATAAATAAATTGGAAATAAAAGTTACATATTCTGAAAGCCAAGACTTTGTTTGTTTAAAATCAAACAAAACACCCGAACCCCGAAAAAATATATTTTTTTACGTAAATCCACGTTTATTTTGAGAGATTCTGCTCTGACAACTAAGCTAAACTTTTACCGGTTAAGATTGTGCACGGTACAACAGAAAGTTACATTAATTTTCAATGGACTTTTTTTCTGTGAAGAACCCAGAGAGGGTTATTTGGTTATTATTTATTTCATATATAGTGTTATTTATTTCATTAATAGTGTTATTATTTATTTCCTGACTTTTTTTCTGTGAAGATCCCGGAAAGGGTTATTAATATTAGGTTATATGTGTGGCTTTCTAGAAAACAATAAATGTTTACGTTTAGACACCCATGCGATCGTCACACTTTTTCTGTTACAAACTGACCCGGCCCCCATCAGAGAAGGGAAAAGTTATGTGGCCCTCACAGGAAAAAGTTTGGGGACCCCTGATCTAAACACTCAGAGAGTCCTTTACCTCACCTGAGCTTATCCCGAGCTTGAATGACACACAGAGACCAATCAAGGGCTTTGATTTATGATCTCTATGACAGTGGCCATGTTGGCAGGCCACATCATGTAGACAGCCAGTCACCCTGTGTGAGGCAGGCCACTTAACGAGGCGAGATCAGAGCAAGGGAGCGAGGGATCATTGTCCACAAGTTAATCGATCGCAGATGGCGTCGTGGTCACGGACGAATAAAAAATAAATAAATTAAAAAAACTTATAAAAAAAAAAAAGGGTCGCGAAATATACTTGGGCGGCCGTTAATATACCTGGGCGGCCCGCCCAAGTATAGTCTATGTGTGGGAAACCCTGACAGAAATGACTCCGGAAAAGCTGCAGATAGAGCCATAAGAAATGAATGCAACTGATTTCATCCGCACGGTTTGGCTTTATGAAGCAGGCACGCAAACGGTTACGTCATGACGCAAACGATGACGCAACGACGCATTACCAGTCGGACTCTGGGCGGTGTGAAAAGAGCCAGAGCTAAACCGAAGAACTGGTTCTGAACCTGAAAAGCTCTAGCACGGAGCTTGAACCGGAGTTGCGTTGGTGTGAATGAGGTATTAGACTTCAATGCTGAAAGGCCAGTGGATCTATGGTGGGGGTCAGCACAGAGGTCAAGACTTCAATGCTGAAGGGCCAGTGGATCTATGGTGGGGGTCAGCACAGAGGTCAAGACTTCAATGCTGAAAGGCCAGTGGATCTATGGTGGGGGGTCAGCACAGAGGTCAAGACTTCAATGCTGAAGGGCCAGTGGATCTATGGTGGGGGTCAGCACAAAGGTCAAGACTTCAATGCTGAAAGGCCAGTGGATCTATGGTGGGGGTCAGCACAGAGGTCAAGACTTCAATGCTGAAAGGCCAGTGGATCTATGGTGGGGGTCAGCACAGAGGTCAAGACTTCAATGCTGAAGGGCCAGTGGATCTATGGTGGGGGTCAGCACAGAGGTCAAGACTTCAATGCTGAAGGGCCAGTGGATCTATGGTGGGGGTCAGCACAGAGGTCAAGACTTCAATGCTGAAGGCCAGTGGATCTATGGTGGGGGTCAGCACAGAGGTCAAGACTTCAATGCTGAAGGGCCAGTGGATCTATGGTGGGGGTCAGCACAGAGGTCAAGACTCAAATGCTGAAGGGCCAGTGGGATCTATGGTGGGGGTCAGCACAGGGTCAAGACTTCAATGCTGAAGGGCCAGTGGATCTATGGTGCGGGTCAGCACAGAGGTCAAGACTTCAATGCTGAAGGGCCAGTGGATCTATGGTGGGGGTCAGCACAGAGGTCAAGACTTCAATGCTGAAGGGCCAGTGGATCTATGGTGGGGGTCAGCACAGAGGTCAAGACTTCAATGCTGAAGGGCCAGTGGATCTATGGTGGGGGTCAGCACAGAGGTCAAGACTTCAATGCTGAAGGGCCAGTGGATCTATGGTGGGGGTCAGCACACATTTGAAAGGGAGACAACGGATGATGAAACTAGTGACTTGCTCTATTCATTTGTGAGGGATCTGTGAAGAACAGGACAACAGCTGCACTGCAGTGTTTAGTATACCAGCAATTGAGGGTGGACAAGTTTCCTACCACTTAGGTTTAAAATAATTGTGTTAATTACTTATTGTAAAGCATTTGAACATTCTTTTGTGTCACATGTTCATTATTAAGTTGATGTATAACTGTGTAGTATCTTCATTATTTAAAATATAAGGTGACTAAAAATGGCAACCATATTTTCAGTTTTGGAAACCAAAAGCGGATGCCTGGTTGCCAGCCTAGCAACCACTTTAAAAAGTCAGCGTTGAGCCCTGCTGATGTGTGTGCTGGTGGTGAGCCTGCCATCATCATGTGGCTGAGGAAGAGACTTACCCATGTGCTGCTCAATGAAGGTGTTGTCTGTGAGAGGAACTCTCCTCCGGCCAACCCTAGTCTGTCCTCTCTTCAGGATGAGCTCACGAACAGACTTCAAGTTGGGAAATCTGTTGGAAAAATTACATAGGTTTATTATAAGCAAAACAAAACTACGCTTAGCATTTCAGTCACTCATCACTCACCCCCAGGCCACATAAGGCTCCAGCATCTTCATCATTGCTACCGAGGTCTTGTTGATTTTGACAAAGGTCCCGCTGAAGATCTTCCTCAGCCTCAACATGTGAACCATCTTCATCACCTTTGGACTGACACCTTTAATCCTAACAGGAGAGCATCATCAAGATTAACAAAATAGAATGAGATGTATAATATATCACATGTAATTTGTTAGACACTTTTATCCAAAGCGACTTATTCAGTATAGTGGACAATCCCCACAGGAGCAATCTGGGCTGAAGTGTCTTGTCCAAGGACACAATGACATGCAGCCTGCAGTGGGACTCAAACCAGTGCTCCCCTGATCAACGCAGTAGCCCACTGTGGCTCAGTGGGCTACTGCGTTGATCTGAACTGGTTTGCAATAGATGAGTCGGACTGGGAATTAACATTGCACTACATTAAAATATTTCAATAAACAAATCATAACCATAGACGGCATTTAAATCTCAACCCACATTAAGAACTAATTCAGGAACATTTTTGTGCAGCAGACACCATCGCTGTGAAAAGTCAGGCATGGTTTGGCTGTGGCTTGCAGCGTACACTCTTTGTAGGAGCAAGTAGGCTGAGTTTTGGTTGGTTTTAGAATTGTGACATCCTTAAAAAGGTGCACAGAGTTGCTCTTTCTATCCACTTTGGCTTGGGGCATATGTCAAGTTAATCTCCAGTCTTTTTGAAGATCCTGTATTCTTCATTAAAGGTGTGGTAGGTAATTCACTTCAGAAACACTTTTTGTTATATTCCATGGAATGCTCTTAACATCCCGATAGCAATGAATACTAGGGCTGTGCATCTTCACTGGTCTCACGATTCGATTACGATTATCCTGTCAACGATTTGATTCAATTCGATATCCCGATGCATCACGCAGAGTTCCCATTAGCCGGTAATTACCGGACTATGACCGGTAAAATATGCTGAAGACCGGCAAATCTAAATCTCTCTGGTCAAAGCGTCCGGTCAAAATCATTTCCCCTTAGCGCAATACCGCTTCAGTTGCGCCACTTATGTGACAGACAAAAGAGTATGTGACAGACAAGAATAGTCCATTCTAATGTCTAACACTTAATGTGGAGAAAGAGATGTCCTGTATGGGTTGATTGTGCGTTGATCTGTTGGTAATGCCTCGGGGTTCCGGTGGGCATGTAAACAAATGCATAATGCTGCGCTATACTTTGTGGCCTCACCCAGTTGCATAGCGACGCTTATTGTTTAGGTGTCTTTTAATAAGCAGGTAGTCATATCATTAGCTAGAACTATCTGGATCTGATCGATATGGACATAAACGCGAGTGAAGTCTAATCTGACGGGAGAGAGAGACGACACGCAGCTCTGCATGATCACATGCAGCGGTGAGCGGACAAAACACACACTTCAGGTTAGAATATCACACGTAGCTATTTTAATGACCTCTCAAACTACCTAAACTAGTTATAGATATGTTTAGTTTTACTGTCGGGTCACTCATTACTGATCCGCGAGCTGCATGATACTGACGGGCTGTCAGGAGAGGGAGAGAGCGCTCCGTTTATTATTCTCGTGTTATTGTAAATTACTGTTCACTTTTGAATAATGTAGTTAATCTAATATCATTAGTTTGTTTAATATCGAATCATATCAATTTGTTTTAAAGCTCAATAAATAACAAAGAAGACCTTTGACAGGCACTTTTCAAATGTTGTCCGGAAGATTTAAACTTTAACGGACATGTTGACCGGCGAAAAAATATTCTAACGGGAACTCTGGCATCACGATTCATACCAATGCGTTGCATCCTCAATTTTCTATATTACTGCACATGGCTTCTTTGTCATCAATGCATACATGCAGTAAATACATATGAACTGTCTTTATTATTTAGAAAGTGCTTCAGAAATCAATAACATAAATGTCTTGACATTCATTTATAAACCAAAATAAATGAATTGTATAGGATCTAGCGTCCCTATATCTGTGTGTGAAGTTGTTCCATCCTCAAAAACAAAAAAATAATGCTTCTGCAGTCTAGCTGCAGCTTCTAGCAACGGTCTTCTGTTAAAGAAAGGACACTGAATGTCCTGAATGTGGCATCACACACAGGACTTGAGTCTGAACACAGCAGACAACAGGAGTATTTACAACAGCATATAACAACTCAAATAGTGCATGTGGGTGCACACTTACATTCTCTGTCTTACTGTTACATAAATCCCATGAATGTATGAGATTAAATTAGCTTCATCATATCTCAGTGATTAAGTGAATAATAAAGTTTCTATCGGGTCACTATCAGCCTGTCACTCATTATTTTCAAGAGGGGGCGGGGCTTGGAGGAACGGAGGAGACGGTGATCGCGGAAGCTTTTTTCCTCCTGCCTTCACAAACTTTACACACGTATATATCATCTGAAAATTGCTAGAGGACATTCATACTCTGCAATCCAAGACTTAATTAAATCCACCAAAAACCTGACATGATTGTAACGCGATTATTTTTGAAAAACATAAATCCCTGAGTCTCTGAGCCGCAGCGACACGGAGTGATTCAGAGCGGGTCCTGCTGCTGTTGGTTCTGGACTGGTGGTGTTGTGTTGGTGGATAAAGCAGACTGCTCCGTGTTTGGTGTTGCTGTGCCGCTGTGCCGCTGTCACGTCTGTTCCCTGATCTCTGCGTCACCGACCGATTTGATATTAAAGTGACAGAAAAAAAAAACTTTATAGTAAAGCCGCGGCCGGAAAAATCAGGAAGCAACGTTACTACGCTATAACCGATTATCTTCCGTCACTGCATCGATACTGAATAGTCCACGTCCGCATCGCAATGCATCGTAGAAACGATTATTTTCAACACCCCTAATGAATACATTAAGTGCTTTGACAATAAATATATACAAATATTTCATCTGTGGAAGCCGTGGCGCTGTAAAAAGCACGACCAATCATCTGAGCCGGCCCGGCTAAAGTAACTGGATGGCCTACCTGCCTGTCAGCCTCCCATCTGTGCACAAACTTATCTCGTGCCCTCATTGGTCATGTGCGTGTTTGTGTGTGTTGGAGGAGGGGTTCTGTGAGGAAGTCTGAAGGAAGGGGCAGATTTTTTTCGGCTGTGTACTTTTAAATTCTAGCGCACTCGAGCTGGTTTCTCCATTCTTACCTACCCTACCTTCAAGTCAAATTTAAAACAAGCTGAATTTAAATCGACACTCAATCTTAAAACGGGAAGTCCTGAATGTTAGAGCCACAGGAGGCAGCACAATCCTCTGACAGTACTCACTCTCTGATGCGCACAGCGAAGGCCAGCCTGTTCTTGGCAGGGGGCAGGGGCCCGGGGGGGCGCTGCTGACTCCTCTGGATGCGAGTGTCATCACGATGCTTCCTGTGGCTGTCTTTCAAGAAATCTTCTAATCGTTTGAACTTTAACGGTTTTCCTTTTGATATCTGGAATGGTGTAGACATGGGAAACATGTAAATATCCAGCAGTACATTAAAACAAGTAGTATGTACAGTTGAGCCTGCATCACGTGACTGTTAACACTTTCTTACAGCCTGCTCTCTTACCTTTCTCTTCTCGAGCAGTGCTATCTTAGCCTGAGTGGCTTTGATGGCCTGGTATGCTTTCCGCTTCTTCAGCAGATACTCAGGAACCAACTTGATCACCTTCTTTGACCTGCCAACAGGAGCACACACTGATCAACAGATATACGTGTGTGTGTGTGTGTGTGTACATGCAGCTTCAGCTTTACGTGTGGGGATTATGTAATATAGCCAAAGAACATACAGCATTAAACTACCAAGAACACTCTACAAACAACTAGTTTCGGATATTAACTTTAAATCACGCCATGATCTCTCCGTGGAGTGGACTCGTGAAATCCGGCTTCTACAAACTTCTTCTAACCATGACAACGGCTTCTAACAATCATCGCGATCAATATGGCTTTAGATTCAACCGGTAAAAACTTGACTTGTTACAGAGACTCGAAACAAAACAAATGCAGACAGATAAAGAACGGATTGCGATAGATTACATTTAACACAATTACATACTCAGTTTCTGCCATGGTGGTATCTGGATGGTCAACAGTCGCTCGGAGATGACGTAAGAGCAATTCGAGTTTTATTTTCCCGGTACTGCAGTTACTACAGTGCCACCCAGCGGTCACGTCACAAGTATACAGGACAGTAACACAGAATACAACCAATATGGTCCTCAGCCTTTCTGAGGTAAATCCAGCCTGTTTTATTTACAATGATATGTTCAGAATTCTTCCCCTGCTTTCAACTTATTGATGTCTAAAATAAAATCATGATATCCGTATCTGTGTAAACGCTGTAAGTTGAGACTCAGAGTATAATAGTAAAGTGTTCAAAACACATAATCTTATGTAAAGGTCGTCTCTGTCATGCTTTTTAACAACATGATTACAAATAACACAACATTATCAATATGACACATTCATAAAGAACATCAGGCCATTATTAACATCCAGATGCTTCTGTAGCAATAAGGGGTTAACACAGTTTTATGGACTCATTGACACTGTACAGTAATACAGTGGGATGAAAGTCTCTTTAATGATGTGTAAAAGTACATTAAAATATGTAATGCAGAGCTTAATGGAGACGCATTGTATTGTGTTTGTGAAGATAAGACATTTCAGTTTTTAACAGCTTTCTTAAAAAAAAAAAGGTTTTAATTTTAGGCAAAATAATGTAACTCCACCAATACGTTTCAAACGTCAGGATATGTTGCTCAGACATGTATTTATCACATGATTTAAGTCTGGTGACATGAAAATGAACAGCATGCCTGAGATTTCTGCTCAGATTTGAATTCCCATTGGCTGAACTGGAGTTAAGCTGCAGAACAACCTGTGAGCTTAAATTATTATAGGCTTAATGCTTTGGCTGCTTACTGAAATCGGCTTTTAAAAAAGTGTCAAATAGCAGCACTGACCTTTTTCCCTCAATGCAAAAAAAGGTAAGTGGATAAACCATGTTTAAATGTGTGAAAAATATTCACCAAAGCTTCAAGCTAAAGAGTAGCGTAGTATTAAAAACATTTTGCGGTTAAGTGCAATTTAAATCTCAGTATGATCAAATATGTGTTTATAACAAATAAAAGCTTGTTTCCTTTGCTCTGCTGCCCCTTCCACCTTTATCTCCCCTGTTGCTCCCCTTTGTCCTCCTGTCTTTTTCTCTCCTTATTAACTATTCTCTCATTTGTTGTCTCCAAATACCTTGTCCTTTCTCTACTGTTATCCTCCACCCTCCCCTCTTCTTCCACCCTGTCCTCCTCTGCCTCTGATTCTACATGGCATCAGAGGCCTGGCCAAAGCAGGGGGATTGTGGCCTCAGAGCTCCATAAATCCAGCCTGTAATCAGCATGTCCCGGCGATAATGAGCAGGATATGTTCTCACCTCCCAACATGGGAGATGAGTTGTCTTTACATGGAAGCATGAGCAGTAACACACACAGAGCCTGTAAATAGAGATGCACCCGCGACTAGTCTGATAATGTATGTTATAATGTATATACATCATGTGAAAATATGTGATTAGCCAAAATGGTTGTAAATATTAATATAAATATTAAGAAATAAATTGAGCTTGAAATATTTAAGTGGAATCCTGAGTGTAAACTGTGAAAATTGTAGATATAGTTTGAAAAGCTGCAAGTGTTTAGTTTAATATTAGGAGTTGAGCAGTTGAGATTGTTGAACTTAAATAGACATTGTTATCAGTTTATGAAGGAGCAAATCATTTGAAAGCCCATAAAACCAAAAAGTACTTCCTCGTTTTTAGTTAGAATTTAACATTGTGGATCCAAGTTATTTAGAAAATGATAGATACCAACTTACATGTGTTTTGCAAGTTGCATAATGAGCATTATTGCTTACATGAACAATATATTTAAGCAACTGTTTGGCAGAATTGGACCACATTGGATGGTTTTGGCATCCTTGGGGGTTTATAAATGTTTTGAGCATATGTTTTTCCAGCTGATTTTGTGCCTCAATGTTTTCTGTGTTTCTTTTGCATTCGCTATACGATTTGATCAAGCTTTCACTCTCATTCTGTAAACTCTGCCTTAGTAGTCAGACCCAAGCATCTCCAAATGAGTCATCACTACACACAGGAAATCGGGGGGGGGGGGCGATTTACAGTGCTGGCCTTGAACATTGGGCTGTTGCGTGTGGAGCGGAGCCCATCTTGTTCAAGGAGGAGAGAACTTCAGTTTGTCTGCTCTCATCTGATGCATGCCTTTCCTATCCACCCTGCAGACATATCTGTGATTTATTGGTATAGATTTCGATCACTCACGTCAGCAATTTGTACTCATGCTGGTAAAAATATGATACTTTGTAATTTCTCAGTTCAGATAGAGAAACTTCAAATACTTTGAAAAAGGAAGACAGTGGAAATCTTGCCTTGTTTTTTAATGCAAGTTGTTGTCCAGTGGAACCTAGCAAATATAAAGCTTTCTTTTCAACAATTTTAGTTACATTTATTAATGTTTGGTTTTGTGACTATTCATAGAGCAGAAGTAAGATATGTTAGCTCAATTTGGTAATTAGCTTTAAAGTATATATCAGTCCACAAAGTTTGACCTACAACTGTTAACATGGGGTCTCTAGAAAAAATATCAAACACACACAAGCTGTTACTGACTCCGTTTACTCAAAGAAGAAGGTTACATTGTGTGGCAAGGTCGTAATTAGAACCAAGTCATCATTACTGCAGAGATAAAAAGTGATCCGACAGCAGCTGTGTTCCCACAACATCCTCCCACTGCACATCTGTGAGTCCATTACACACACACACACACACACACACACACACACACACACACACACACACACACACACACACACACACACACACACACACACACACACACACACACACACACACACACACACACACACACACACACACACACACACACACACACACACACACACCACACACACACACACACACACACACACACACACACACACACACACACACACACACACACACACACACACACACACACACACACACACACACACACACACACACAGACACACCACACACACACACACCACACACACACACACACACACACACACACACACACACACACACACACCACACACACACACACACACACACACACACACACACACACACACAGGCTTTTGCAGATACAAACATAATAGTCACAGGAATAAAGAAAAAGAAGCCGTTGCCAATTCTTGAAGGAAATAATGAAATGAGAAAAGGTTTATACTTTTTCAACAGCCTTGGCTCAAAATGTGATTGTAACTGCATATTGTCCATCTCCATCCAACATATGTAAATATTTGCCTTCCTTTTACTTTTGATGGCTCAAAAGTTTTGATTTTTTTTTTGCTGTTGTGTTCTTAAAGTTAAACTGCAGAGCCTACCTAAGCAATATCATTTACATTACAGTGAATGTAGAAGGAAGGAAGCTTCTTACTGACAGATAAAGACATACTTCAGGGAGAAGCTTCTTATGCTCCCAATGGCAGCTGATTAACATTTGAGAAGGGGGAAAGTAATGACCCCTCTTAGCTATCACTCTTTGTTTACTTCTTGGCGGGGGGTTAGGGGGTGTGTTCCATCCTGTCCGGGAATAGGTGTCTGATTGACTGGGACTCCTGAAAGCAGCTCTGCCACGCTGCCACAATAGAGCAGGGAACGCATGGGCCACTTCTGAGGAGAGAAATAACATCATTTGGTTATCCCTTAATGCAAATAGAAATATCACCAGGATATTTGATAAACGCAAAAACAACCCATAGCAACATATATGCCACTTTTGTCCCAAGTTACATCTCTCGTGCTATACAGGCTACCCAACCTTGAAAGAATACCTGCATCAACGTCTTCTTGGCAGTTGTTTTTATTACAGTTAGTATTCCCCTAAAGTCACAGGCAGCCCCAACCTACCTCAGAAGAGAAGGGGACCTCGGTCACAGCCCCAGTGAAGGCCCTGAGCCATTACAGTAGTCGACTCACAGTGATGTTTTTACCTATATTAAATAAAGAAATATATATATGTACTGTATATATATATATATATATATATATAGAAATGTTCAGGCGTATCCTAGACCTAGGGAGCATTAGGGTGATTTCTACAATCTTTGTCCTTGCAATGAGACAGCATAAATCCATTCACACACATATTCATGGCACAGGCTGCCATACAGTACAACTAAAACACTCACACATTCAGACACCAGTGGCCACGTCCCAGGGATACTCGACATGTTTAATGCAGGGATTGGTGGTCAAACCTCCCGAGCCATAGCCGCCCCAGAAGTGGCAGAAGCCTTCAGGCAGGGGCTTTAAATGCCTTGGTGCAGAGGACAGCAGATCAATGTCCCAGAACTTAGGACTGTCTACTTGGAGTGTTTCATTCTTGTCTTTACAAGGTCACAATAATCAAAAGGCAAAATAATCTTAACAAATTACAAGAGGTTTTATGTACTTAAAACTGGATAATACAAATGTTTTCATGTACTTATAACCAAATCAAATAAGTTCATGATCTAAAGGTAATATATGTGGTTTGAACTAGCCTGTTGTAATTAGCTGAGATCGACTACTTATCATTAATCAGTGGCTTTTTTCAGGTAATATAAGTGAATTTATACAGATACAACCAAATTAAATAAGGTTTTCAACTAAAGGTTATATTAGTGGGATGTTTTATCCTCTTATGAGCTAGGACTTTCTAGTTTTCATTAGTAGTTTTATCTAGACTACTAAAATGTAATAACATAATCAAGTTATCTAACTTTTTTCAATATCATTATAATATGTAATATATGTTTCAGCCACCTGACATGATGCACAGCTGTTGGTATATGTACAGTTGCATCTTTATCCAATCTTTCTGTGCGATAGGGCTTGTCCCAATAACAGTGTCCTAAGTGGATAATCATTTATGTATCAGCAAGTCATATAATCTCCTCCCTGAGAGCAGCATTCAGTGTAATGCACTCAGCATGATTGCACCTTAACAGGATGCAGATTTCCCCCCGGCTGGGAGGGCAAGGTGTGCTCAGCTTGCGTCCGTCCCTGGTCCAATGTCTCCGTCAGGAAAGCTATGTAGTTAGTAGCCAGAACCAAAATGTCCAGCTTGGACAGTTTGGTGTCAGGTGGGACTGAGGGCAGAGCCGCCTGTGGACAGAGGATCAAATCAGCTTACAACTGTCTACACACTCAACTGAATTCATTAGCCTTCAATTCCAAAGGACCCAGACCATACATGTTATAGCATTTTGTGTGAGTTTTAGAAATAGTGTGTGTGAAGAGTTGTTCCAGGAATTGTGTCTACACAATTTTGAAAAAAACTGATCTTTACTCCTGAGCCACCAGCTCTTCTCCTCAGGAGGTGGAAAGTTCCTTCCAAGCAGTCCCATGATCAGTGATGGAAGAAGAATTGGGATCCTTTACTTGAACTGTACAAATATTCTGTTGCATTGAAAAGGTAACTTATGTGCAAGTAAGTAATACTCAGCTAAATGAAGTTAAAAATGACGTGTAATTGAGGCCTCAATATATCTGAAATGACTTACTTAAATATTTGAAATAATTATAAATACTACATTTCTCTCAATAGTCTATACATTAACTATCCTGTTCATGTATTGTATGTATTCAGAAAAATACCATCATATTTTATACGTTTTAATAAATCCTAATTTTATAAATGTAGTGAAGTTCAAAGTACAATATTTTGAATTAGTAAGGTAGAAGTTTATGCTGGCATGGAACAAATAATCAAGTAAAGATTAGATTAGATTACACTATATTTTCATTGCAAAGATTACATGAAATGCATCCAACCAGTGAAAAGAGTAGAAAAGTGCATGAGGTTTCAATAAATTCACATTACAAACAATGTTGTAGTAATGTACATACATGTATGAATATTAATAAATATCTGTAGAATGCATATTTAGAGGCATAAAGAGAAGGTTTAGGTTAAAGTTAAATACAGTTGTAGTGCATATTTAATACTTCTTTTATAATAAAAACTAAATTCAGATATTGCAAATACTGTATGTGATAGGTCCCTGAGTGTGAGGTGCTGTGGGTTGGAGCCCAATGACATTCAAAGGGGAGTGTGGAGGTGGGCTGGTACCAGAGGTCGCGTTAACCGAATATTTTCCGTCTATGACGGATTTTTTTTTAACAATGACGGAAAAATCTGAAAGCAGTCCGTCATTTTGACGGATTAGAACAAACTCGGAACAGTGGCAAAGTGTCCCCGCAGCGAGGCTCCGGTGTTAAGCATGCCCACCAAAAAGGAAATGATACCTTTCCAAACCTAACTTTGCCGTACAAATCATTGAAATGTCTGTGAGTTTTGGCTTTACGCTGTGCGCGCTCCCGCGAGGTGCAGTGGGCATGCATAACACGGCGCTAACAGTTCACGAGTGTGCGCGCCCGCGCCCCCCCCCCCCCCAGCGTGCTCCTCTCTGGACTGTTGCGTTCACACCAAAAAGAGTAGGCCTACTTAGTTCCGAGAACTTTTACCCCCATTTTTAGTGCCTGCTAGAGAGGTGGTACTATCCTGGGGGGAATAAAAGTACCAATTAAGATTGGCTGGGTGAATTGCAAACCACGCCCCGTAAAACTCTGAAAACTTTTGTGAAGCCGCCATTGTATTTGATGGCAATAGCATGATTAGCATTAGCCCCGCGCACCAACGGAGAGAGAATAACTTAGCAACACAACAAAAAACATGGGAGCGGTGGAGATGAGGAGGTGTCGCCGTTCTGGCGATTTACTCGGAAGGCTTCAGTAGAAGCTGCTGGGACTCCCAGCCAGTCCCTAACTCCGGGGACTTCCGGCCGGGGACTTCGGGTGGCAGTATACGCCGTGAAGTGGTTTGCGGTCTGCCAGTAAACCCAAATAAGAAGAAGAAGTGACGTCAGCGGCTTCATTTGCGTAATCTTCCCTCAGGGAACTTATTCCAGTGTGAAGGCGATCTGTACTTAGTTCCATGGGGGTACTAAGTGCTGGCACTAAATGCTGGGCACTAAGTATGGCTAAGTACTTGGTGTGAAAGCTTGGTGTGAATTATTTTTCCCGGGTCGCCGAGGGTGCTGGCGTTGTTTGTTCGCCGCTCCTCCGCCCCAAATATTGTTCTTTAGTCCAGATCAGAACCTCTCCTGTCTGGCTCTCTACTTTTGAAACGTCAGTCATCAGCAAATATGGCCGAGGCTATATACAGGACGGTCCTGTACACAACGCCAAATGGCTATATACAGGACCGTCCTGTACACAGCTCTCTGAAATGGCTATATACAGGACGGTCCTGCACAGAAGCCCTGAAATGGCTATATACAGGACGGTCCTGTATATAAGGTCTCTGAAATGGCTATATACAGGACGGTCCTGTATATAGTCATTTGGCGTTGTGTACAGGACGGTCCTGTATATAGCCACTCCCAGCAAAAATAGCAGCATCTCTCTATCGAATCGACACAGAACTTTGTGTTGTCATCTCCTACCTGCTGGCTCTTTCCTGCTCACCGGTCCCTAGCCCGCTAGCTAGCTAGCATTATTGGACCTAGCAGGCTGCTACCTAGATGCTCCTCGGCTCCCTGAAGTCTGCTGAGCTAACATTTCTGTCTCCACCCCAACTCCACCCTAACTCCACCCTAACTCCGCGGCTCGTGTGGGTCTTCCCATCCCGCTGCGATCAGCCGGCTTCCCCGCTGACATCGTCTCTCCCTGCCGCCTACAGCCGGTGGCTATCAAGCTAGCTAACCAGCTAGTAGGCTGGTCACCCGGCTCCCACTCTGCACCAGGCTGTCAGCCCCTCCTACGATTCTCCTCTGGAAACCACTGGAATTATTCTCTTGATATGCTGTGGATTAGAATTCTCATTTTATCTGGACTCACACCGCTCCTTCTTCCACGGTCATCCGGCTCCTGGTCTCTGCTGCCCGGGTCCCCAGCATTAGCTAGCTCCGTGCTAGCGCCACTTCACCGGATCATGCCGCCGCTCTACTCCCTGTCAGATCTCCACTCCTTTAATAACCGCCTGCGTCCGGACTACATGGACATCCTCGCAGATAATGAAATACTCCGCAAACGCCGTCCTCCACACAGAGGCTCTGGCCGTAAGTTTTTATTTCATTCCACGTCTCCACACTCCATCCCGTCCATTCGGTCCTGTCACACGCCCACACTACGCCATCACAACAAACAACACGTGAATCTGACCAATCTCCTTCCACTCCCCCGGTCCACACAACCCCTCCCAATGCAACGTCACCTCAGAGCAGCCCTGCTCAACACACGCTCCATCCACAATAAAAGCCACATTCTAAATGAATTCATTAAAGACAATAACCTGGACTTTCTGTAAGTGACCGAAACATGGCAAAAACCCCTGGACTATTTTTCTTTAAATCAAATCACCCCAGCAGGATTCACATACATTGACAAACCTCCCCCACAAGGGCGGTGTGGTGGTATAGCTGCAATTATCAGAAAGGAAATAAAAGCTACCATAATCCCCATCCCTGATGTTTCTTCATTTGAACACCTGATCTTCAAACTCTCTGGTCCCACTCCCCTGGTCACAGACATCATCTACCGCACCCCAAAGCCAAACCCCTCCTTTCTCTCCGACCTCTCTGACATTCTCACTCAGCTTTCTGCCATATCCCCATCTGTTCTCCTCTTAGGTGATTTTAACATTCATGTTGACGACCCGACCTGCATATGCCTCTGAATTTAAGGAAACTCTTCACTGCTACAACTTCTCTCAACACATCAACTTCCCAACACACAGCCGTGGTCACATCCTGGACTTGGTCTGCTCCACTGGTTTCACCATCCATCATCTGTCCAGCCTCAATCTTCACATCTCTGATCACCTGGCCATCATCATGGACATCAACATCCCCATCCCCGCCCAAAAGCAAAAACGCACAATAACCTACAGAAATCTCAAATCCATCTCACCTTCAGCAATCACTGCCTCCATTACCTGCAAGATGTCTGTCTCCCCCCCCCCACTTTCTGAAAACCCATCTGAACTTGTGGACTATTATAACAGCACCCTCTCCTTCTGTCTCAATGAACTGGCCCCCACAAAAACAAAAAATGTCTCTTTCATACACTCCGCCCCCTGGTATACCCCCGAACTCCGCCAAATGAAATCAAGGAAACGTCAACTTGAACGCCAACACAAGAAAACCACACTAACAGTCCATCTTCAAATCTACAAAGACTATCTCCAGCAGTACAGTAACACACTCAAAGCAGCCCGGTCTAATTACTACTCACAACTCATTCAGTCTGGCTCCAGCAACCCCAAGCGAATGTTCTCCACCATCAGCAAACTTCTCAAACCCTGTGACAACGCCACCTCTCGTTTTTCCAAACCAAAATCAGCAACATTTACAGCAATCTGACACCCTCATCAGCACCCCCCACCTCCCCTCCTGGCTCCCCCCCTTCACCTCACAGCCCCTGTCCCACTTCTCCCCTGTGACCCCCATGCAACTGTCCCACTTCATGACTGGAATTAACTCCAACTGCACACTTGACCCAATGCCCTCCAAATTTGTTAAAGAGAGCCTCCCTGCCATCTCCCAACTCATCGCCACCATCATTAACTCCTCCCTCAGATCTGGATCAGTTCCCCCCTCTCTCAAACTGGCTGCTGTCACACCCATTCTCAAAAGACCTGGACTCACACCTGACATCATGTCCAACTTCCGGCCCATCTCAAATCTCCCCTTTCTGTCAAAAATACTTGAAAAAGTATTTATTCTAAAATCCCACCTCAGCTCCAATGACCTCTTTGAGCCATTTCAATCCGGTTTTCGATCAAAACACAGAAACAGCTCTTCTGAAAATCACAAACAACCTCCTTCTCTCCTCTGACTCCAGCAACCTGAACATCCTCATCCTCCTCGACCTCACCGCAGCATTCGACACCATCAACCACGCCATCCTGCTGTCCCTCCTCGAATCATCACTCAACATCACCGACACTGCACTCTCCTGGCTGAAATCCTACCTCACCGACAGACATCAGTTTATCAACATCAACAACTGCACCTCCTCCACTGCTCCTCTGTCCCAAGGCGTCCCCCAGGGTTCGGTGCTTGGCCCCCTCCTCTTCATCCTTTACATGCTCCCCCTTGGCAAAATAATTAGTCGCCACAATCTTCAATTTCACTGCTACGTCGATGACATCCAACTTTATATCTCAACAAAAACCATCACCCCCACAACACACTCCACTCTCACCAACTGTCTCTCAGAAATAAAAGCATGGATGCAAACAAACTATCTCCAACTGAACAGTGCCAAATCAGACATCATCATCATCGGCCCCCCATCCCGTATCAAAGCCATCCAGAATTTCAACTTCACCATTGACAGAAACACTCTATCTCCCCCCCTCACATCCGCAACCTCGGAGTCATCTTCGACAGTCAGCTCAAATTCAACCACCACATAAATCACATCACCAGGACCGCCTTTTTCCACCTCAAAAACATTGCCCGTCTCCGTCCATCACTCTCCTCCTCTGCTGCTGAAACCCTGATTCATGCATTCATCACTTCACGACTTGACTACTGCAATAGCATCGTCTACGGCATACCATCCAACCTAATCAATAAACTCCAACATATCCAGAACTCTGCTGCCCGCCTTCTCACCCACACCCGCTCCCGAGACCACATCACTCCCGTCCTCCAGAACCTCCACTGGCTCCCCGTCCGTCAAAGAATCGACTTCAAAGTCCTCCTCATTACTCACAAAGCCCTCAACAATCAGCCCCCCCCCTACCTCACAGACCTGCTGCACCACCACACCCCTTCCCGCTGCCTCCGCTCATCAGAAGCCAACCTCCTATCCATCCCCACCCGCACCAATCACCGGACCTGGGGGGACAGAGCCTTCTCCGTCGCTGCCCCCTCCCTCTGGAACTCACTCCCCCAACCCATCAGAGACTGCACTGACCTCACCACCTTCAAAAAACTCACAAAAACTCACCTCTTCAATCTGGCTTTTAATGTGTGATTGTTTTTGTATTATTTGACTTTAACTACATATTTATTTGTTGTTCCTTCCTTTTCTTTTCCCTTCACTATATCTGTAAAGCGTCTTTGAGCACCTGTAAAAGCGCTAACAAATTAAATCTATTATTATTATTATTATTAAAGCGGCTGTTGTTAAGGTTTTAGGTTTGTTGTACAAATGAGTGTTTCTGTAGGAAACAATCCACAGCCCCTCATTGTTCAGAATTAATTCATAAATGTGAATTCAACACCATCATGGAAGCAGGTTATGAAACACAAATGGGCAGGGAGTGCCGAATAATGAATGAGAATATTGGGAAGGGACTGATGTATGTCCAGTGTACCTGAAGGCTGTGGAAGGCCTGTCGTAGGTTCCGAACACGGCTCCTCTCTCGCGCTGCATTTTCTGGAGAGTGCTGACCCCTCATTGTCCCGGACCGAACTGCAGACTCGCCACAAGAACCAGAGTTTAACCTGGACCCAAACACAGACTGCGCCTGCAGCACAGGGTGGAACAATCAAATCAAACCTAGTAATAGAGAACATTTATTAAATGAACAGTTAATTTAGCAACATCCTTTTACTTACTTTCAAAAAAAGTATATTAGTAAAATATATCATAATTTGTTCATTATAAAATACATTTTTCTACAAGTTGTATGTTGTCACAGTGAATTGCTGAAAGATTCAATGTGAAAATAAATACAAAATAAATGTTACTCAAGAACATTAGTTAGTTTAATCCATTTTGCTTTAATTATTACTTTTATGTCTTGGTAATTATGGTAGTAATAATTCAGAAGGTTGTGCAATATCCCGCTGGTGTCTGTAACCAGGGACCTTTTGAAGGTTTCAGACTCACCCACTTCCTGCGTGTGCTCTGCCTGTGTGGGGATGCTGGGCCGCCCCCCCTCCCAGGCTGCTGCCTCCAGGGCTGAGCGGCGGAGTTGGACACAAGCTGATGGTTTGCTGAAACCGACATAAGACTTTCCAGAGGATTTCCCGCCATCAGTGCTGAAGCAGACTCTCCTCAAGTTTTTTTTCACTTTCTTCAGTCTATTTGAATTGGCAGGATGGAAGCTTGCTCTCCCTTGTTGAAGATGTTTGTATCATCCACCAACTGCTCTGGTAAATCCTCTAAAGAACAAATAGTCTGAGGTCTCCTTTACATCCAGGACATTTTAAAAGTCTGTGCACATGTTTCTATTTCTACTGAGGACCATTATGTTCAAGCATCTGTCGACTTCAAAAGGCCTCTGTGGGTAGCGGTTCCACCCAGACCACTAAAAACCCAACGAAGTGTGTCTGCCTCTCTGTGCATCACTGTTCGTTCAGAGGATTCCTCCCAGCCTGCCTCTCTCTCTCCGCTGGTTTCCTTATCGGGTGAGGTAATGTGGGGAACTTCATGCTGCCCTTATCTCAGCCGCCCGGTCATCTTGATCCTCCCCTGGCTGTTTGGCTGCCAAGAAGAGCAGGCAGTCAAGCCGGTGGGGGAGAGCAGCTCTGGGAGGGTGTCCTGCGCCAGGGCACCAAGGGGCTTGGGAAACTCTCGCTTTGCTTACAACTGGACAGAGTGGAAGCTCAGGGCAGTGCGACATTCAACATGACCAAACAGAGGCAGAAGAGCATTTTGGTTTGTAGAAGACCACCTCATCATGATAAGATGACATTCACTTGCACAGAGCTGCAGGTTTGAATGACATGAACTCGGCAGCATTGAATAGAACTAGCATGATCATTTTACAGGTGGAATGATCTTAAATCAACATTTTCACAGTAATATGTTATTTATGTTTGCTTTTTATATCATAATTCTAGTGTACAAAAATCAAGTAAGTATACAAAATAGATAATACTGTTAGTGTCATCATCTGACACTGTATAGAAATGTAAACTCTATGCTTGACAATTGGTATTTATCAGACAAAGATACATTAAAATAAAAACTGTCTTCACCATGCTGATGGGTGGTCCATTACACCAGAGAGGATCTAAGATTAGAAACCCTCAGCAGAAAATGACTCATGTTACACAAAACATCTGCATTTCACACCATGAAATGTTCTTTTTTATCTGAGACAACAAAGAATCTTACGGATAAAGTGTACCAAGTTATCTTTAAAGCGCCACAAAGGATTTGCCCTCTCCTGTAGTGTGTTCTATAGGTTTCTGTGCATGTAAAAGTCAGAAAAGGCTAAAATCCCAAAGTTCCCTCCAGAGGGGGTTTCTCTCCCACACACTGCTCCTCCCTGCATGAAAAGCCTCAAATTGGACTCCTTTGTTTTATTTCTTAAAGTGGTGACATCACTATGTAACACTTGTGTTTCTACTGGCTAGCTCTAGATGCTGTTTTCTGCAAACTGAAACTTTGTTGACTGTTGTGTCTCGGCAGATTTGTTAATATTATTTCTCTGTTTAGTTTATATTGTCAAGTCCGCGTCTGCTAACCCTTTTTGTTGTCTGCCATTTCCTGTTTTACTTTGTCATTTCCTTTCTCATTTCAGGTAGTTCGACTCCTACCTTGTCACTATGCTCACTGACCTGATGACCTGCCCCGCCCTTATTGTTTGCACCTGAGTCCCTTGTATGTGTATATATTCTGTGTGTTCCCTGTGCCCTGGACTCAGCCGACTCTCAAACCCTGAGAGCAGCGCTCGGCTCTCAGGCTCAACGCCTGCAGCAACAGGAGGAGGACATGAAGGCCTTAAACCAGGGAGTAATGACCCTGACTAACAGCCAGAGTGAGTTTCGTGGCGCGGTTACGATGCAAATCAATCACCTGGCTGAACGGGTCCATAATGTACTTACACGTTTGGATAGTGTGCCCGCCGCTCCTCCCGCCGTGGCTGCCCCAGCCCCAGAGACTACAGCTGATTTTCCCATGCCAGCTTCCATGATTCGTCTTGCTCCTCCTGCAAAGTTTTCAGGCAAGTCTGGTAATTGCAGTCCTTTCCTAACGCAGTGTGACCTGCATTTTACCTGCCAGCCTGCTGCTTTCCCCAGCGATCTAGCCAAGGTGGCGTTCATTGTGTCCCACCTCACGGGAAGAGCGGAAGCCTGGGCTACGGCGGAGTGGGCACGGAAGTCTCCGGTGTGTAAATCACTACAACTATTCACTGAGACTATAAAAAAAATCTTTGACCGAACCACACCGGGGAGAGAAGCTGCCAGAGCCCTGACACAGATCTCCCAGCAGAATCAGAGTGTGTCTGACTACGCCATTGATTTTCGCACTTTGGCCACGGACAGTGGTTGGAATGAAGACGCACTATATGATATGTTTTTCAGCGGACTCAGTGACTGTGTGCGGGATCTTCTTGTTCCTCTTGATCTTCCGGCGGATTTGGACAGTATGATCACCTTGGCTATACGCACAGACACTCGGCTGCAAGAGCGACGGAGGGAGAAAGCCAGGAAAGCATCATCTCCGCTAACTAAATGAGGAAGCTCACCTCCTGCACGATCTCCACGACGACCCGGATTTCGTACCCACTATCCCTCCTCTACCGTGAAACCTGCTTCGTGGAACACAGAAGAGGATTTTGTCATTGGACTGCCGCCCTCTGCAGGTAACACCACCATCTGCACTGTTGTTGGCAGATTTACTAAAATGACTCACTTTATCCCCATGCCCAAATCGCCCTCTGCTAAAGAGACAGAAGAAGCGCTCTTATCTCATGTTTTCAGGCTGCATGGATTTCCTCGAGATGTGGTGTCAGGCCGCAGTTCGTTTCCCAGTTTTGGAAGGAATTCTGCAGCCTGATAGGAGCCACTCCCAGCCTCACATCTGGTTACCACCCACAATAATGGTGAACTAATGGTCAATCAGAGAGGATCAACCAGGAACTGGAGACGTGTTTACGGTGTCTGGTGTCCCAGAATCCCACAACTTGGAGCAAGCAGCTGATATGGGTGGAGTATGCCCACAACACCCAACCTACATCTGCCACGAGTCTCTCCCCTTTTCACTGCGCCTATGGTTACCAACCTCCTCTGTTTCCAGAAGTAGAGAAGGAAGTGACTGTACCGTCAGCACATGCCCTGGTGAGGCGGTGTCGCAGAGTCTGGGCAGGAGCTCGCCAGGTTCTCCTGAAGAGTGCTGCTCGCATGAAGAAGGCAGCAGATCGACATCGTCGTCCGGCACCTGCCTACAGACCCGGGCAGAAGGTTTGGCTATCTGCAAGAGATCTACCCCTGTGTGTGGCCTCCAGGAAGCTGGCTCCGAGGTTTGTGGGTCCGTTTCCCATAACTAAAGTTATTAACCCGGTGGCTGTTCGCCTGCGCCTGCCCAGGTCCCTGAGATTCCATCCGACCTTTCATGTTGCCAAAGTCAAACCGGTTCGGGAGTCGTTTGGTTCCTCCATCCAAGCCCCCTCCTTCCCCCCGGATGTTAGACGGCGGTCTGATCTACGACGTCAAGAAACTGCTAGCAGTCAGGAAGCGAGGTCGCGGCCGACAGTTCCTTGTAGACTGGAAAGGATACAGTCCAGAACATTGGTCGTGGGTACCAGCAAGCTTCGTTGTGGATCAGAAGCTGATAAAGGACTTTTTCAGGCTTAATCCACAGGACTCAGAGGGGGGAGGGTACTGTTGTGTCTCGGCAGATTTGTTAACATTATTACTCTGTTTAGTTTATATTGTCAAGTTCGCATCTGCTAACCCTTTTTGTTGTCTGCCATTTCCTGTTTTTACTACAGTCGTAACATTGACCTTTGTATGGACAACTGAAAAGAAGAAAATAAGTGGCTTCCTGAACCAAGCAAGGATCAGTCAGTTATTGACAATAGTTACTGATTTCCAACTCTGTTGGGCCAATCTGGTGATACAGGGTCACAACCTTTGGAAATAACAATGTTGCTACTACTGGGGCTTTAAATGTGGAGCTGCTGGAAGTCGAGTTGCAAACAAAGTGCAAGCCTCTGCTAAGTTGCTAGTTAACAATTTAGCTAATAGGCTGTATGCCCACCTAAAATTGGGTCAAAATATCGATGTATTTTTTGGTTCACAACAAACTGAAATGTGTTCAAGCATTGAAATTAGGGCCGTCAGTCGATTAAAATATTTAATCGCGATTAATATATTTAATCGCGATTAATCGCATGATTGTCCATCGTTAATCGCGATTAATCGCAAATTAATCGCACATTTTTTATCTGTTCTAAATGTACCTTAGAGGAATATTTTTCAAGTTTTTAATACTCTTATCAACATATGAGTGGACAAATATGCTTTATGCAAATGTTTATTATCATTTGAACAATGACAAATATTCTCATGAATATTAAACACAACAACCTCTGAACATTACAAATATTCGCCTCAATTCAACCTGGAACCTCTCTCATTCAATAATACAATACAACTGGTGTGTGTGTGTGTGTGTGTGTGTGTGTGTGTGTGTGTGTGTGTGTGTGTGTGTGTGTGTGTGTGTGTGTGTGTGTGTGTGTGTGTGTCATACTTGCCAACCTTGAGACCTCAGAAATCGGGAGCATTTCAAAACCACCGCGGGTGGGGTGGGGGGGGGGGTGCTATGGATCGCCGGAGCTGTATTAGCTTAACATGCTTATTGTAGTTGTAAGTGCACTGTCTTGATGGAGCATATGTGTGGGCTGGACCTGTGTTATACAGGAAAGGAGTGAGCAGGGGGGAGTTTTGTCGATTCTTGTTCAGTTTTCTGTGACTTATCTTCCTCACCCTCTCAGACTTTCAGTTGCGCGCGCTACTAAAGAGACGCGCTACCATGGAAACCAAACAATGGTGTAGCTGTATTAAACTCCAAGTGGAAACAGTCGTGAGTAAATCCAATTTTGTCAGAAATCGGGAGAAATGCGGGAGAAATATGACCCCGGGAGGAAACCGGGAGAGGGCAATGAAATCGGGAGTCTCCCGCGAAAATCGGGAGGGTTGGCAAGTATGGTGTGTGTGTGTGCGTGTGCGTGTGCGTGTGCGTGTGTGTGTGTGTGTTCGTTGGAGCTATGTGCAACTCAAGGCATATGCTCGAACGGGAGCTGCCTGTACGCTGCAATCATGTTATCCGTGCTGAGTGTGCTGACTTTTCGTACAATATCCCACTGTCTGGCTTCCTGCATAAAGTCAAGTGCTCGGCGCAGTTGTCGGCGAAATGTCGCTCCTCTGTTTTCATTGAAACAGCTCCTTATATCCGTTAGCGCAGCTAGCTAGCACCAGATGCTAACAACAACAATACACGTAAGGTCTCGCTCGAGCCACACATACACACACCCTCCCGGTCCTCCCGATGGCCAGTCGGTGCCTGCCGGTGAGCGTGGAAGTGTGGTCTGCCACAAGCAGGCGGCAGGAGCGGGGCTGTCTGCATCAGCTTGTAGATGGTATTTTAAACTCGATGCGCTCTGAAACTACGGGCGGCCGAAGAAAAAAATACACATGCGTTAATCGCGTTAAAATAATTAGTGGCGTTAATTTTTTTTTTGCGTTAACGCATTATTAACGCGTTAACTTGACAGCCCTAGTTGAAATGTTTCTATGTCACAAGCTGTAATATTACAGCCGCTAACAACTTTATTTGAATTTGATCATAGACAGAACATTGTGTCTTAATCTTAGATACAAGTCATACTGACCATCTTGGAACGGTAGCAAACATTGCAATTCATTGTAGACTGGAAAGGGTAAAGTGGGAAAGATTCGATCAGCATTTCATTGTAAAATATAATTTTATTTCAGAAGATTCCAAAATATGTGATTTACAACGCATTTCCACACATATATTGAGCATGCCAATGTTAACATCTCTTAAATTCTCAAAAACTTAGCAACTTTCACCACTTAAGTAAACTATCTTCATACAGCACATGTCACTTCTTCAAGATCAACATGATAATGTACATTTTCTCAGAACTATAACTGTAATGTTAGGCTATGATCTGAAGAACAGAGGCTTATATCAATAGAGGAAGTAAGCAGTGTTTCACCTGTGACTTGTGTCAATTGTAGTACAGCAAATTCAAGTCAATCAATGTCAGTCAATCACTGAGACAAAATGTGAAGGTTAATGCATAGCAAATACATCAATGACACTTGTGTAATACATAAAAGGCACCCGACTTTATCAAAGCGTAATACATTTAAATGAATTTGAAAGGAGAAATACAGTCATATTAAGAGGTGTAAGGCAATAACATGGCACCATGGCTGTAGCAGTGGCGAGCCGTCAGGGCCCTCTAGGCCCTCTGTGAGGGCCTAAGATATTCTAAAAAATTATATTTGAAAACATTAAAAAAAAACATTTTTTTTAAAATATTTTTTTTATATATGTTGTTGTTGTTACATTTTTCATTAGTTTTACCAAAATAACTTGATTTAATTGTATTTAAAATAATATTTCCAAAGAAATAAATCCTTCGAATCTGCCTGTTCAGTTTCTGTTGGAATGTGAAGGGTTAAATGCCGTCTCTGCGAGTTATATGAAGACGGGAGAGCTTGTTGGTCCCTCTCTACATTCACAGAGGGCCAGCTATAGTAACTCAACAAGAGAGTAATGTCAAATGACAGTACAATTGACCAATCATATCTTCCCTCTAAATGGGCGGGCTTTATTTTCGCGGACTTTATGACAAGTTCCGCCCGCTGTGAGGTCTATGCATGGATGTATAATAAGTATGTAGGATGTATAATGGTCTATGCAAGTGGTGCAGTGACGCGTCCTAAAACCCGGAAGTAAGCTTCGCTCGGATTCCCTCGACAGAAAGCAATGGGATTTCTCCATAGGGTTTTGGAAAATAGCTCGAAATAAGGTCTGTGGAAAACGAACCTGTTAGATAAATGCACGTTGTGTTCAGCCGGATAATATCCACATGTCTATCCTACTTTTATTATTTTTGAATCATAAATCTAATCGATAGATTTATGATCGATAGATTTATGATTAGCATAAGTTCGTTCATGATGGCTCACTTCAGTGATAGTGATGACATCGTTGCGAAATTATTAACCGAGTCATTTTCAAGATTGAGTTACAATGATAAACTGGAGTGGCAAAGGATCAGCTGCATGACCCGCCATCAAGTGCTTCATCCAAAAGGACAGGAGGATGGACTTTGTGTTTAAGTGATTTGATCATCAAAGGTAGGCCTAAGTCATTTTCAATGTGGGCCGCCGTGCCGACTTAATTCATTTGTAATTGTTACTTGGCTGTGGGTGCCCTGTCATGATAGGTGTTTATATAAATGGTGTTGTTTTGTGTGGTAGAGGGTCGCTGTCATTAATGCGTTTTGCACCCTAGACCACTGTTTTGATATTCCGCTGAAGTCTACGTTGAGACGTAATATCTCTTCTTTTTTTCGAGGGAAGGGGGGGTCAGAGGGCCTAGGTATAAAAGTCACGGCTCGCCACTGGGCTGTAGCTTCATGTTATCAGAGGAATGTCCAGGCTGTCTGCACCATAATACCACACCATCTTTCTGCCTCTTTACAATAATTGCAGACACAAACATGCAAACATGTTCTAGTATTAACACAGCATTAGACTGGCTCAATCACCAAGAAGTATGATTAGGAAATTCACTAATAGTAAGGATTCCACTTCTAGAGAAACACAATGCTTCGAACTGCACTGTGGACACGTTTACCTCCTGTTCACCAGTGAGGCCCTGCTTTTTTCCATTCTTTCACTTTGATCAATTCCACAATTCTGAATTGAATTTCCTTCACCTGTTTATCAGTGCAGTCCTTACTGTTGCTTCTTCTTCTCCACCAGCTTAATGAACTTCTGGATGTCTTCGGCCATCAGCTGGGGCTCTTCCATGGCGGCAAAATGGCCTCCACGGGCCATGGGTGTGTATGTCACCAGATTGCGGTATTTTTGCTTGACCCATAGTTTGGGAGTGTGCATCAGCTCATTGGGGAAGCAGGCAAAGCCAGTGGGGACACATACAGTCATCCTGTGTCGAGACAATGTGGTAACAAAGAAAATGTTGTTGAAATGCTGCTAATACATGAAACTTGTACACAACATATATTGCTGGATATCAGTTAAAGTGGACCTATCAAGCTATATTTGAAACATATATTGTAGTGCCATACCTATACAAAACATATCTGTGAAGTTTTTTTTTCAAAATACCAAACAGATCATGCATTTTAGCCATGCCTCATTTCGCTCTATTTGCTCTTTCCAGCCCTGTTTTTGCAAGGGCTGATTCTGTGACGTAGCTTTAATGCAAATGAGCTTCAGCTGACCACGCCCTCCTGCAGGAGACGGGAGTGTGCTCTGATCAGCTGCTGGGCTCTCAGAAGAGGTGGAGGAAAAGAGAGGCTCCGTCCTCCGTGTATTATTCTTATATTATTATATAGAGTCATTATTCATTTGTTTTAAAGCTCAATAAATAACAGAGAAGACCTCTGACCGGCACTTTGCTAATTTTGTCCGGAAGATTTCAACTTTAACGGACATGTTGACCGGCGAAAAAAAATCTAGTTCATAAACATGTCCGTGGTAAAATGTTTAGAACACCCAAGCAGAAATCTGCCGGAGTCTTCTGCCACAGATTCTTGTCTTTTTCCAGGGATGGCATTGCATGCTGTATTAACTCCCTTAGACATCCTGGCAAGAGCAGGCAAAAACACAAATGTGACTGGGGGAGATTTAGCTTTCCGACAGCCTATATGCGAATGAGAGGTTGGGCAATGGCCATGGCCCAACCTCTCATCCCCCTGATAGGTGGAGAGTTGCCTATATAGGCGGAGCACCCGTTTTCTGACGTCAGAGAAATTAAAATCTGAATCAGCTCCGTTGCAGCCCCGTTTTTAGAGATTTGGGTATGGAGGAAAAGAGAGAGGGTTGTGTTTTCTGACACTTGGTGAGTTCCCTGACACACCGGGGACACATATTCATGTATAAAAGACGTACACAAGTGCATTTTGCATGATAGGTCCCCTTTAAGTCAAGGAAACTTCTAAAATGATGAAAATATCCTGTAAAAATATACCATTACTCAAAACTTGAATGTATCTGCTCTGAATTTAAGTATTTGTGACTAGAAAATTGTGGCCCAGGACTCATTTAAACTAATTTTAAATGATAATCAACATCACACTGTTTCTACATCTGCTTTATAAGAACCAACACACAGCATTGTCACAGCATTGTCACTCACTTAGAGTGAGGTGCGTTGAGGCCTTTGCCAAAGTTTTCCTTGTAGAACCTCATGGAGGAGACGATGCAGCCAGATGTCCAGTATATCATCACATTAGTCAGCAGGTCGTCTAGAGAGAACTTCCTGCAAGAACATTTAATATGACAGTAAAGAGTCTACCATCATTCATCCATATTTTCTGAAACTGAAGATATTTGATTAGTATGACTGTTGAAACATACGCAGTTGCACCTGATGCTATTTAGAACTTATGACAAGTTTGGGTACCACTTTACAATAAGACTACCCTTATAAAGGATGTCATGGCCTGGCTCTTGGCCATAACAAAAAGCATGGGAAGGACGAGAACATATATGAAAAATATAACACAAAGGAAAAACAAAAGACGAAGCGACGTAGCTGCTCCGAGGTCAGAGTTCATAAAGGGTTTATCATTAGGTTATTAATTAGGTTGTAAACACTTTATTAATCATTAAGAACCATTTATAAACCAGTTCTAACTTTCATACATCAAGACAGGCTCACTATTTGGCAAGATGACTAAGCCTTATATTGGCTACCTAGCTTACTTCGTCTTCTTCATCAGCCAGCATCCTTGGTATCTGTTGTTGACTGAGTTGATTCCCCCCATCAATCTTGATGTTTCTTGACATCTCTTTATGACCATTTATTTATGAGTTACTAACATTTATAACTGCCAAAAGGGAGCCTTGTAAAGTGTAAAACACATTCCCATTTATTAATGAGTTACAACCAATTGTTATTGTAAAGTGTTAAACAAATCACCATTTATTAATGAGTTACTACCATTTATAATGTGTTTAAGTTATATTAAGCCTTAAAGGTCACCTATCATGCTATTTTTAGGCAATAGCATAGGTATCAGATATATAAAAAAATATAAAAAACATGTCTATGAAGTGTTTTGGTCAAAAAACCAAACAGATCATCCATTCTAGCCATGCCTCATATCCCTCTATTTCACTTCCTGTTACAAAAGTGCTGATTCTGGGTATAAACAGGTCTCTCTTGAGAATGAGACCCTGTGTCTCAATGAGATTTTCACCTGTATAAATAAAGGCTAAAAAATAAAGCTTTTTTTTTTAAAACTGAAAAATAAATAAATAAGAGGGGGCTGAGTTTATGTCGGCTCATGGGGGACCTGGCAGATACTGTCTAAAATGCTGCGGTGATGAAACGCAAGGATTATTAGATCAAGGATTATTAGATCAAGGATTATTAGATCAAGGATTCTCTCTGAAACAGTATGGAGCTCAAAGGCTTTCTCTCTTGCCGGTTATACCACAAGGTGAGTTCCTTTTTACTTCCTGCTTCTTCACACACATGCTCTCCAGTACAGGTTAGCTCTGAGTGTTAGCGATGCTAATGTAAACATCGACCAGATTACGTCCAAAACAGTCGGGCATTGTTTCTGATAGCAACGTTTCTGATAGTGCTGTGGGTCCGCCGCCGATATTACGTCATATCGGCCGCAAATCTGGATCAGCTCCGTTGTTCCTCCGTTTTTAGAGATTTGGGTACAGAGGAAAAGAGAGAGGGTTTTATTTTCTGACGCTGCGTGAGTTCCCTGACACACCGGGGACACATCTTTATGTATAAAAGACATAAAAAAGTGCATTTTGCATGATAGGTCCCCTTTAAAGTTATGCATAAATTAGGGCGTGGTCACATTGAGTGACAGGTTTGTCCAGTGACTGCTGCTGTTAGCTTTCTCTCAGGGGGCTCAGCCTGCTCAGCTCATCCGGGGAACATAACTTGAACTCTGCCGTGTTTGTTGTGCTGGTGCCTTGTGGACATTCTTCATGCTTAGATCGGACTATTGCGACTCGCTCTGCGGTTAAAACAGACGGTGCATGAATGCGGTTTTGCGGTAAGTGAAATTCGAGTACTTTATTTATGTGTTGCTTCGTAAACGTAGTGTTGAAGAGCGGCGTAGTGTATGTGAAATGAACCTCACAATAGATGTGTGTATATTACAAATATTAATTTCATATTTCAAAATGATTACTTAGATATTACAATATGGTTGGTTGAGCTGGAGTTCATTATTGAGCTTACACGTTAACGTCACAGTCATCTGAAGAACGAACCCAAACCTTGTTCTTGTTATTAATTTTATTACCAAATTGGTATCAAATAAATAGTCAGCATTGGTAATACCACTGTTGATAAAGTAAACCATTTTATTTGAGTATTTGTGTCTGGGAAAAGGTACTGTACCCAGTTCCTATGTTCGGTAGTTATAGACTGGGCTTTCTTGTACAAGAGAATACAAAAAAATCAATATGAACCATTACTGTAAAATTATCCTTAAATGATGTTATACAATGCACCTAATAAACAAGTATGGCATTTTGAAATATGATCTGCAACAATTTTTACTGTAATTTGTGTGCATTTTGTTGTTAACTAAGATGATGTTATTATTTATTTTTTGTTAGTATGCACATGGACGCTTTGGACATACCTGGAGAAGGAAGAAATGGGTCTTCGGAATGATGGGAGTTAAAGACAAAAGCGGAGGCTAGTGTTGAAACTAGTGGAGAAACGATCAAGATGCCACCTTGTCCCTCTGATTAGACGGCACGTTAAGTCAGGAAGTAGCATTATTAGTGATGAGTGGAGGGCATACAGGAGAGTGCTGAGTAACATGGGGTACAACCACTACACCATAAACCACAGCAGGTGGTTGGTGAACCCCCAGACAGGCAGTCATTCCCAATATATAGAAAGAGCTTGGTCGACCGTCAAAGGACATGTCCGTAGACTGAGAGGAAACCGTACAGAGAGTTTGCTGGAGGAACACCTCAAGGTTCTTGAATGGTCCTCTTGGCTCTGCTCACCCTGATGGACTGCTTGGACGCTTGTTCAAGAATATACACAAAGCCTTTCCAGTCTGAGTACCATTATGTCTTTCATTTATGTCTGAGAAAAGCTTTTATGTTTAAATATGTGTATCAGTCATACTAAACAGTCATTACTTTGAGTCCTAATTTTCTTCATGTGTGAATAAAATGTTTTGCTTGTTTCTGTTGCATCTTACTTTGCATTTCATGTGAAATATGTGTATTAGGTCAGCGTGAATGTTATAACTCATTCATAAATGGACATGTGTATTGAACTTAAAAACAACGCACCCTTTCAGTAGTTATAAATGTTAGTGACTCATCAATAGATGGTGATGTGTTTCACACTTTACAATAAGGCTCCCTTTTACCAATTAGAAATGGTAGTAACTCATTAATAAATGGGAATGTGTTTTACACTTTACAACAGGGCTGCCAACATTTGAGTTCAGCTTGGAGTGAGATTTTTTTTGGTCAACCGAAAAAAGAAACGTTCATGTGTAAAGTGTTACAAATGTATTGAACATGTACAAACTAGGGTTTCCCATTAATGTACCGGGCGCTACAGTGGAACACGCACATACACAGTGTACCCGCGACTCTTACAATGAAGGCTCGATAATCAGCTCACAACATATAAAATGGCATATAGGTGTAAGCAGAGGTAAAGTGCTATTTTATAATAATAACAATAATAAATTATATTTCTATAGCGCTTTTCTTGAACCCAAAGACGCTTCACATTTGGGAGGGAGGGTAGACAAACAAAACAAAACGAAAAAGAAACAAAGAAACAAAACAAAGGTTATAAGTGGGGGGAGTCCTCATCTCCGGGGGGTCCGGGGGCATGTTCCCCCGGGAAGATTTTTTTTTTTAAGTATTGAAGTTAAATGCATCAACCTGGTGCATGTTGAGATCAAAATGAATTTAAGGATACATCTCTCAACACCCAGATGAAACAGAACTGTAAACAGATTTTCTTTTTCTTTATGGATATTTTACAAATCACTCCCCTTTCAAACTGTATTCTTGTTTTACTGTCATATAGTATTTCATAGCTGTTTTTCATTTATTCTCATAAATGGTGACCAAACCGTTTGAGACCCACTGAGATAACTAGACTAAAGTTAACTATCTAAACAGAGTCCATTACCTCACTGAGCTGTAGTTATCTCTCAGTCTGACAGGAGAGAGCTCTCCCTCTCCTTGTTTTAGAAACAGCTTTTAATATCTGTTAGCGCAGCTAGCTAACCAGATGCTAACAACAACAACAACAACAACAATGCAAATAGTGAGTTTGGTAGAAACATACTGTATAATAGTAAAGTTATTTAAGATGATGCCATATTTATTGAAGATTTTTACATTATAAATATTCTCCAAAATTATTCAAAAGCATATTCTTCCAAACTCCTTGCCACACAAATTGTAATCGTTTGACAGCCCTAATATATATATATATACATATATATATTAGGGCTGTCAAACGATTACAATTTTTAATCAGATTAATCACAGCTTAAAAATTAATTAATCATGATTAATTACCATTCGAACTATGTCCAAAATATGCCATTTATTTATGTATATTGTTGTGGGAATGGAAAGATAAATGAAAGAAGGCGGATATATCCATTTAACATACAGTATCTATGTTTATTATAACATTTTTCTGCGTGTCAAAATGAAAGACAACCCACACACCTATCAATCATCAAACCGTGGGGTCTTAATTCATTACGTGTTGATTTCAATCAACGGGGGAGTACTTCAGGAAAGTCGACAGAGGGGGGGGGGGGGGCAGCTAGTGGAGTGTGAACGTTGTGATCAGCTGTTTTGGCGCAGTTCTCCAGTGGGGGGGGGGAGTCTCCCTCCGCAGCCGGTTGGCGTAGTTTTGGCACAATTCCGTTGTACAGACCGACGTTAACAGCAGCCCTGTCTGTGCACACGGAGACCGACTCTGTCGTCTGGTGATCTAACCGGCTTCTGGAAAAGCTTCACAAGTACGTCGGTACGCAAATGCGCTTTGTGACACAAGTGACGGTACGCATTTCAGATTACGCACATAACCTGCGTACCAGTTATGTGCACCCCTGTACTACAGCAAAAGTATTCTCCGTCGGGACTCCCTGCAACAACACCACGCCGTTATCAAAGATGTTCTATTGAGAAGACGATCACTACGTGACAAAAGTTTTCAAAACCGTGGCTACTGAAATCAATCTTACTAACGGCTGTCTGTGCAATTTACTCCGCGCGAGTTGGCAGACTTTATTTTGCTTCCTTTAACATCATTTTTCATGGTGGGGCTAAGCCATTTCTTGGTATGGGTGTAGCCTACCCCAGCCATACCCTGGTGCTGCCACTGGTGGCACGTATGGGGCGGGCCATTCTGCACATGCGTTAAATGCGTTAAATATTTTAACTCAATTAATTCAAAAAATTAATTCCCGCCGTTAACACGATCATTTTGACATCATTAATATATATATATGAGAGACTAAACACTAAGGGAAAGGGGGGATCCGGGATGAAACGACAAAGATCCAGGAGAACATCTGGATCAGTTCAGAGCTGCAGTCAGTCACTGTGGTGTTTTATTCTGCATGGCTAGTTACCTGATGATTTTCTTGGGCCCCAGACACTCAAAGTTAGCGCTCACAGAATACAGGCCTTGGAAAGTGGCGTTCACATTCAGAGAGCCAAAAACATCCTTTGGGCTTATCCTGTACAGATCAAAGGTTCATCATTCAAGACTCCATTAGATTGGAGCAGAGCACGAGGCACGTCGAACACATTGAGGCCACAGGCTGAACACGTTGAGGCCACAGGCTGAACACGCGCGCCAGACATACACCTGTCGCTGCTGTGTGGAGGAGATTTCGCAACGGAGGAGTCCCGCGGCTGAAGGCCGCCATCCGCTGGGGAGACCGGCACAGCTGTTTTCTGCTTCTGCCGGTGCGGAGGCCTGATCGGGGGATGTCGCGGAGAAACCGGAGTGTTGCCACACTGCTGGTTGCCTATTCCTTGCTGCTGCCCGTGGTTTTGTTTCGGGAACTTCGTGGATGCTGTTGTGCTGAACTGGGAAAATGGCAAATGTCGTATTTCTGCTGTGCCTTTTTTTGACTGTGCTGGACAATGAGAAGATCGGTAGTCATCCTGAAAAATCTGCTGGATTCGGGTCTGTTCTGTCGCCGGCAGTGGACATCCCCTGTACAGGTTCGGATGGGTTGCACAAACATTTGCTGGTTGCACTGTCGCGGACATTCATCTCGTCAAATGTCTGTCTTTCTCACTTGCCTGCCACGATGGTCCTTCAGAATTGTTTTTTGAACTCTAATCTCACTTTCGCGAAGTTTTCTGGTGACTCTAAAACAGTTGACAATGTTTGTGTGTTGATTAAGAGGAAAAGGTGCTTGGTATTTTTATTGTTGTTGCTATCGGGGAATGTACAGCCAAATCCGGGTCCACCTAGTACTTTTAGTCAAATAGCTACTCCTGCTGATTTTATATCTAGATCGGGGTTAGGTTTAATTCATTTAAATGTGCGTAGTCTGTTACCTAAATTAGATTTTGTCCGTATTTGGGCGAGTTCAACTGATGCTGATGTCATTGTCTTATCAGAAACGTGGCTTGACAAATCCATACTGGCCTCTGACATTTACATAAATGGTTACAATGTATATCGCACTGACCGTCCTAAAAAAGGTGGTGGCGTTGCCATTTATGTGAAAAATAAGTTTTGTGTAACAAATATGGTTTCCAAATCGGTTAGTAAACAACTGGAATTTTTAGCTGTGAATGTCGAAGTCACAAAGGGTCAACAGGTCATGGTGGTGGGTTGCTACAGACCCCCCTCAGCTGTCAAGGACTCCTTATCTTCACTGGCAAAACTGTTATCTCAACTTTCCTACAAGGAAATAGTGCTGCTTGGTGATTTTAATTGGGACTGGTTAACTTCTGTGTCAGAGGACTTTAAAAACCTTTGTACCTCTTTGAACATTACTCAGATTGTAGATAGTCCTACTCGCCCAAACATTAAGTCCCCAAATAAATCCTCCTTAATTGATCTCATTTTAACAAATGTGCCACATAAATACTCATCTGTGGGAGTATTTGCTAATGATGTGAGTGACCACTGTGTTGTAGCCACAATTAGGGACACTAAGATCCAAAAAGTGAAACCACGCATTATCACAAGGAGAGATAAAAAACACTTTGTGGAGCAGGGTTTTTTACACGATCTGTTTGATTTTGATTGGGGTAAGATCAATCTGTGTGCGGATGTAGAAACTGCATGGTCTTATTTTTATCTTGGTTTTATGAAAATTATAGATAGACATGCACCTCTGCGTAAATTCAGAGTGAAGGGACGAGACAATCCCTGGTTTTCCGCTGAACTATCCAGTCTACTTCATGAGAGAAACAATGCCTGGGCTAAGGCTAGGAAATCAGGCTCAGAGGTAGAATGGCTACGCTTTAGGCAGCTAAGAAATAGCTTCACATCACAAATAAAAAGTGCTAAATCAAAGTTCTATTTGTCAGTTACCACAGAAAATCTGAATAATCCTAGGAAATTTTGGAAAGCCATAAAATCAATTTCCACTGGTGATATCCCAAATGAGCTACCTCCATGCCTTACCACAGAATCTGGCATTATATCAGACAGGGCTACTATGCTCAATTGTTTTAATAAGCATTTTGTGTCTTGTGGCTCGCTGTTTGATTCTGTCACTGACTGTGCTTCTGCTTCTGTGAACGCTCCAATCCTTGAACAATGTGGTCTGGAAAACCCTTTAAGTTTTACCCCTTTTACTGTTGGTGTTGTCCATGATGTTTTATCCAAGTTAGATCCTAGGAAACCGGCTGGCCCGGACAACCTAGAACCTTTCTTTTTAAAGATAGCTGTAGATTTTATTGCTCCACCGCTTACTTCTCTTTTTAACCTCTCCCTCAGCACAAATACAATTCCTAAAGTATGGAAGTCTGCTTATGTCTTGCCTTTACTGAAAGGAGGGGAGGCAACTATTTTAAATAACTATAGGCCAATCTCGAAATTGTCAGTTCTGGCTAAAGTGCTTGAACGCCTAGTGAGTGAACAGGTAAAGGACTTTTTATGTATAAATGATATCCTGTCGAAACATCAGTCGGGCTTCAGGAAAAAACATAGCACCATCACTGCCACAATGAAAGTTGTAAATGACATCACTAGTTTTTTAGATAATAAGCAGAGTTGTGCAGCTCTGTTTATTGATCTCTCTAAAGCGTTTGACACCGTTGATCATCGCATTTTAAAACAGAGGCTACTCAGCATTGGCTTGTCCAGCCTTGCAGTGGGGTGGTTTGTGAACTACCTCTCTGAAAGGTCCCAATGTGTACACTTTGATGGGCTCACTTCTGAGTGGTTGAGCATTTCTAATGGTGTACCTCAGGGTTCTGTTCTAGGTCCACTTTTATTCTCCATTTATATTAATAGCTTGGGTGATAATGTGGAGGAAGCTACCTTACATTTTTATGCGGATGATACTATGATGTATTGTGCAGGTACCTCAGTTAAGGAGGCTGTTGTTAAATTACAGACTGTTTTTAACACTGTTCAGACTTAGCTCTCAGCGCTTAAGCTTCTTTTAAATGTGGATAAAACCAAGTTAATGCTCTTTTCAAAAGCTAAAAAGTCACCAGAGCCTGTTTTAGATATTGTAACCATGCAAGGAAAAAAACTTGAAGTGGTAACCTGTTACAAATACCTTGGTATCTGGCTTGATGACTGTCTTTCTTTTAAACTGCATGTAAATAACCTGCTTAAAAAACTGAGGGTTAGGCTAGGTTTCTTTTATAGGAACAAGTCCTGTTTCTCTCTTGAGGCCAGGAAAAGGCTAGTCACTGTGACCTTTTTACCTGTGCTGGACTATGGTGATCTATTTTATATGAATGCGCCGGCCAATTACCTCACCAAGATAGATGCCGCCTATCATAGTGCACTAAGGTTTGTGACAGACTGTAAGACTTTGACTCATCATTGTACCCTGTATACAAGGGCAGGGTTGCTTTCACTTACTGTACGGCGGCTAAATCACTGGTATCTTTTTATTTATAAAGCAATGTTAGGGAAACTTCCGTCTTACATCTGTTCCCTGATCTCACAGCGTATTGTAAATGGCTACTGCCTGAGATCTAAAGCTGTGGTTGTATTACATGTGCCAACTGCTAGGACTGTATTAGGAAATACAGCTTTTAGATGCGCAGCGCCGCTAGCATGGAACAGTCTACAAAAGGAATGGAAGCTAAGCAGTTTGATTCCATTTCATGTTTTTAAAGCTAGGATAGACGCTATACAATCAGAAAATATTGGTGTCTGTAAATGCTACTAGTATACAAACTGTAGTATCATATAATGTCCTTTGTTTTCTGTCATGTTTGTATTAATGTTTGGAACTAATTGAAGCAGGTCACCATTGTAAAAGAGGTCTATGATCTCAATGGGTTTTATCTGTATAAATAAAGGTTTTGAATTGAATTGAATTGACATCAGGAAGTGACATGGGGAAAATGTGCGGTGGCTGTGAATGAAAAAGCTAAGATCCCGTGGGACTTCCATATCTAGACGAATAGAATGATGAGGGCTATCCAACCGGACATCATGGTGGTGGACAAACAGCAGAAGAAGGCAGAGAAGCTTGGGAAATATCAAAATGGCGAGATGGATTGAGGAGTTGAGGAGGCATTCCCCCTTATGCACATTCATGAAATGCACTTTATGACTACACTTTTTGCTCCGTTCCGTTTTGTATTTCTTGTAAAGCATAATGGACTACAACCACATTTCGTTGTGCATCCCTGTGTGGCAGGGAACATTCTCATAGTAGAGAATAGTATGTTTAAGGTTGTGGTGAAAGCAAATATCAGCAGCGACTTTATTTATCTGTACCTGGTGAGTCCTCCGTCCTCCAGGTTCCTGAAGTCACGTCTCGTCCACGTGGAGAACTTCTCCAGAATGTAAGCAGCCAGGCCTACTGGGGAGTCATTCAGTCCTCGTCCTGAGAGAATATTAAACCAGAAACAAGAAAACTGATAAACCAATTTAAGATGCTATCAATCCTTTTCTACTCTACCGAAGCTGGTCTGGAGTTTGATGTCCTTACCCACAGTGTCAGGCTTGGTGGCCTGGATGTGCATGTAGCCAGACTCTTTTATGGATTCCACCACCAGTTTGTCCATGCAGGGGTAGAGACGCTGAACGTCCATGTCAGTGAAGCCAAACAGTTTTGGGAAGCGGTTCCCAAGCATGATGGATAAAGCCATGGGCAGCCCCGGCTTAGAAGGGGGGGCGAAGTTCACATGCAAGCCTCTGACAGTCCTGGGGTATGAAATAAATACAGAAAAGATTAAACACTGCGATGTATAAATACCTTTACACAAAGAGTGTGTGTGTCTTACTTGGGCTGCAGCTGAGCCATGTTGGTGGTGACTAGCCAGCCCCAGTCTCCTCCGTGAGCGTAGAACTGCTGGAAGCCCAGGCGCTGCATCAGTTTGTGGAAGATGTGTGCCGCACACACTGAATCAAAACCTGTTCTCACACACAAAATGTCAGATATTCTTGTTTTTATAAATTTATATTTTCCTATGAATGTCTGCCAACTCACCTTTCTTATGTGGTGCTTCTGAAAACCCGTACCCTGGTATGGAAGGACACACAACCTCAAACACCAGGTCATGTGGCTCTGTGGGTTCTGTCAGCAGAGGAATCAATCCATAGAACTCATAGAAGGAGCCCGGCCAGCCGTGAACCATTATCAGAGGAATGGCAGCAGATCCTACCGGCACCTTCTTGGGCTTCACATGCAGGTAATGGATATTAACGCCTGGGTGGCAGTCCAAAAAGGAAGAGGAAGAAGAGAAGAAGATGGGGTTAGAGAAGGACAACATCTTCTCCATGAGTGTGTGCAATTTAGACTCACCTTCAATGTTAGTTTTGAAGTGGGAGTACTGGTTAAGCTTGTCCACTTGTCCCCTCCAGTCAAAGTCATGTCTCCAGTAAGAAACCACTTTCTGCAGGTACTGGGAGTTAAAGCCATAATTAAACTGGCTGTCCTCCAGTGAAGGGACAGGGCGAGTCTGGTCTATCCTTGTGTACAGGTCCTGCAAGAAGGAAGCAAGAAAGACAGAGATATGTATATGGTATGTGCAGGGGAACATGAGTAAATGCTATGGAGTTATCTTGATTGATGGCTTGAGGAGTACTGGATAACGGGATTAAGTAATCTGGATACAAACAAACATACTTTATTCCCTTGCAGTTATATATAAAAAAAGAATAAGATTACTGGTAGATTAAAAAAAAATGTGGATTAGTAGCAGGATTACAATGTTACAATACATTTTCAAATAACGAAAAGCATATTAAGAAGCACAGTTCACCAGTCTCACAACAACCAGTGAAACTAGTCTAAAGTGAAACCATCATCGTGGCCTCTAGTTTGGGTGGCGATTGGAATAGGTAGGCGTGCTGGTTGAATCTGCTTTTCTTTTTTATATGTTCTTTTTGAAAATTCAGTAGGTGGATACTTGATTTGTTTAAAATACTGTCATCGCCTAATCCATATACTTTAGTAAACTGAAAAAGTGCATATTTCTGCTTTGTATGCTATACTGTTCTGTAGGCTAATACTTTAAGTGTGAATCTATAGGCCTGCTGCCTGAATCTGCTTTATGGTTTTCACTTTATCTGTGTATGTTCCTGGAGCCTGTAACCCCTTGGTGCGGTTCGTTTGGGTTGGTGTGATTTGACCAATTGTTGAACAGCATTTCCGTGTACATGACTTTTGACTACAGTTTATAGTCCGTTTGAGGTTTGCCCGTGTGAACGCAAACCGAACCTTCTGAAAAATGAAACAATGTAACAAATTTGCGCACCAGAGAAGCCACTATTAGGTGTGTATGCGACCTAAGGTGAATGAAGAAGACAACAATGAATGAATGAAGAATGAATGAATGAAGACAACAGAACACCTAAGAAGGTGTTCTGTTGTCTTCATTCATACACTTGATTAAAAGCCTTCTTTTGATATTTATTTTTACTGTATTTTATTTGCATTGCATTCGATATTGAGGTAATTCAAAAGTAACAAAAGTAATCAGGTTACATTACTTGTATGTTATGATACTTAGATTAGGTTATTGATTTACATTTAACATGTAAATAGTAATTGTAACAGGATACTTTTTCAAAGTAACCCTCCCAACACTGCTTGAGTGATAAACTAAAAGGGAATCTAACCTCCAATTCTTTATCACTGGTGCTGACTTTAAAGGGATAAATAGTGACGTCCTCCCCCCCATCAGGGGGTGCACCGGGCCCCCACCAGCCATCCTCGGTCTTCAAGACCTGCTTCCTGCTCCTCTGAACCAGGAAGCAGATGAGTCCTCCAATCAACAGGCAAACCAGCAGCTCTGTGAACATGGTGCTCCGTGTCTGGGGGTGAAACACAATGATGTAAAGAACAAATAAAAGATGAACAAATATTTACCATGCATAAAACAAAACACAATATAACATTTCAATGGTTTGATTTATGTTTGCTATGACAGTAAACTTTCATGTAGGAAGAGAGTCAAGTTAAACTTGATACCTTTTGAGATATTGTTTCCATTCCTTTGTTTATGAGTTAAAGGTCATCTATTATGCAAAATCCATTATTCATGTCTTTTATACATAAACATGTGGGGACACTGTGTAAAAAAAATTCTGAAAGTTTCAGGAAAAAAGATTCGCTCACTTTTTGTCCTGATCCATTTATATAACAACCTGTCTGAAAATGAGCTGATCAGATTTTGGCCACTTTATGATGTCATAACGATTTTTATGACATCATAAAAAACGTTATCTCCTGAATCTCCTCCTAGAGCACCATTGTGTTCTTTGTAACCAAATGTCTCTCAGAGGGGCGTGGGGAGGGGCTCCTTATTTTTCATCTAAAGTAACAGACAGAGAATCAGCACTTTTGAAACAGGGCTGAAACAGAGGGGATTATGGGATGCTGCAATGACCTGTTTGGTATTTCGAGCCACACACTTCGGAGACATGTTGTGTATATATCAGAGACCTATAATATATTGATGACAAACAGTATAATAGGGACCTTTAAAAATAGGTGAACAAAAGATCTTGCCAGAAGATTTCCATTTTTCCTTAGATTTCCATAGAACGTTTTTATGTTAATGGTTAAAAAAAGGTTTTGATAGGATCATGTCTCTAAATGTCCTTTGGTCAGTCCTTTTATCCTATGAGCAACATAATAAATAATTATTGAAGTGTAACAAGATGTGACATCTTGTCTTACTAAAATCAACTGAACAATGAATATATGGTTTGAATGCAGAGTTTGTGAGAAACAGTTTTAATGTAAATTGAAAGAGTCCATGAAATTACATTTATTGGGCTAATAATCGATGACACAATAAGTTGGAAATGACACATACAATCATAGAATGAAGTACAATCAAAGCTGTCAAGAAGCATTTCCATACTAAACAAAGTAAAACAAGTCCTAGATCAAAAACCAGTTTGCATTCTCTACTGTTCACTAGTCTTACCATATCTGACTTACTGTGCTGAAATCTGGGGCAATAACTACAAAAGTTTAATACATTCAGTATATATTCTACAAAAACAAGCCATACGAATCATTCACAATGCCAAACATCTTGATCACACTAACGCATTATTCCCGCAGTCAAAATTGCTCAAATGTACAGACTTGGTAGAATTCCAAACGGCACAAATCATGTTTAAGGCAAAAAATGACGTTTTACCAGGAAACATCCAGAAAATATTCATTTAAAGGTGGGGTATGTAATTTATTTCAGAAACACTTTTTCTTATATTCCATGGAATGCTCTTAACATCCCGATAGCAATGAATATCTTAAATGCTTTGACAAAAAATCCATAAACAAACGTCATCTGTGGAAGCCGTGGCGCTGTAAAAAGCACGACCAATCATCTGAGCCGGCCCGGCTAAAGTAACTGGATGGCCTACCTGCCTGTCAGCCTTCCATCTGTGCACTAACTTATCTCGTGCCCTCATTGGTCATGTGTGCGTTCGTGTGTGTTGGAGGAGGGGCTCTGTAAGGAAGTGGCAGATTCTTTCCGGCTGTGTATTTTCAAATTCTAGCGCACTCGAGCTGGTTTCTCCAAAATTACCTGCCCCACCTTTAACGAGTGGGGGGATATAGTTCAAGGAGACCATTTCAATTCGAAATTCAAAGGGTCCGTACAACCAGAAGAACATGTTGTATCTCAGCCTGTGGAGTGACACTATGGAACAGTGTGAATGTGGAGCTAAAGCGATGTCCAGACATTAATCAGTTCAAGAGGAAATACAGAGAAATTATTTTCTCGAGGTACAGGGATGGGGAGGGTGTAGACCAGGGGTCTCAAACTCAAGGCCCGGGGGCCAAATCCGGCCTGCGACTTCATTTTATGTGGCCCCACAAGCAGGGGCGGACTGGCCATCTGTAGAATCTGGAGAACCACAGAACGGCCGGTCGTCAAGGGCCGTTGACGGCCGGCCCTTTAAAAAAAAAATAGTTTAACGTCATCATTTAAGATGCGCTGACGGCCGACAGAGGGCAACAGCGGCCGCTAATGCAGTTGTGTGGTTCTTATCTGTCAAATAATAACACACGAAGAAGAAAAAAGACCGGCCACACGAAGGCCCATTCCGAACCGCCCCCTACACCCTACCCCTCCGTTTGCGCGTTCACGCGGAGGGTCCGCCACATTGAGGGCTGTTCCAAAGCAACGAGTGTGAAGCGGTGTGGAGGGGGAGTGGGCTATCAAGCCCTCAAACAGCGAGTCTGCAGCGATGCTGACTTGAGACCGGTCTCTACCTGACCGGAGTCACGCTGTGTGTGTCCGTCAGGAAACACGCTGTTTACAAGTAGTTCCAGCAAACATCCACTGATAAACTGCGATGTTAACAACCTCATGATAACCTCATGTTTTTAACTTAGGATCAAACCTGTGTTTAGTCTAGAAAAAGGTAAATGTGTGCATTTTACTATAAAGTTGTGTATATTTACAGACTGTTGCAAAAACTAAGAAGCTTATAAACATCAGGTTTAAAACTAAAAGAGCTTTGTAACACAATGAAAGATGTTTGGAGTTTTATTTGAGTTATTCATTTAAACTTTTTGTCAAAGAGATGCTGATTTGAAACCGTTGTTACATACAGTTACGGCATTTCCTGTTTCTGCCGGAGAGAGGGGAGGCCGTCCCAAAGCTTGCTGCTGTATTTACTCCCTCCATCGGACAGGAGGGAGCCTCGTTGAGCTGCGAGGGAGGCTACAGACGGAGTTCACTCCATCACGGAGGGGTAGGGTCGAGGGAGTGGTTTGGAATTGGGCCGAAGAGAAGGGATTAAACGCCGCGGCAGACAGGGAGAATGAAAACACATGGATACAAATCAAAGAAAACTAAAAGAAGAAGGTGGGGCCGAGAAGGCAAGAGAAAAAAAGTGAAGTCACTAGTCTCGCAGGTGAAGCATATCAATGTCGCAAATTGACAGACCTTGTTGGCAGCAGCGCTGCTACAAGCACTATCAGCAGCAGCTTAGAACAAGTGCAAGATGATGAAGAGAATGATGAGGGCGCGAGTTCAGATATACAGCCAGCCTCCTGCGTTCATGATGAGGGACAGAGTTGATCTGCTGGAAGAACCAGCTCAACTGGCACATACAAGTGCAGGGCAAGAGGTGGGTGAGAATTATCCCTTGAACTCAGTGGCGTTTTCTCCTGGAGGCCAAGGGAAGCCAGGCTTCCCCTGAATTTTGGATTGTAGTTATAATTTTAATAAATAAATAAAAACACTTAGTTTAGTTTCGGTAATTATTCTGCCGGCCCGTCTCTCCCCCATTCTCATTGAGTATTTTACAAAGAGTGAAACAGCGCCCCTCTAGATGTCATGGTGAAACAGTAGATTGCACTCTCTGTTGCGAGAGGAGGCTAGCCGAAATGTTCTTCCCTTGGTGAAAAAAAATGGAGGGATTGACCAATCAGATGAGGCTCACGTCATGCCTCACAATCCAATTATTTAAGTATTACGGGCCGTCCACACTACAGCTTCAAAAACGGTTTCCAACGCGTCTGCCCATTCACTTTGAATGGGGTGACGTCACGTTGCCTCGCTTTTCACCGAACTGAATTGTGGGTAGCATAGCGGTCCGTCTCCGGCGTCAGAACGGCCCCTACACACGGCGGCTTGCGTTGCCGCTTCAACGCTTCTGCCCATTCACTTTGAATGGGGTGACGTCACGATTCGCCGAACTGCATTGTGGGAGCAAAGCGTAACTTCTCTCGCGGTGCTCGCTGCAAAAGTAGAGCAATGTTCTACTTTTGCCGCCTCGACGGAGGCGTCAGCCAATCAAATCCTGCGTATGCAAATCTGACATTACAAGCGCTATAGCCAATCAAACCGCGTGTATGTTGGGAGAGCCAGACCGCAGTTATTTCCCATATGTCAAAAAATGGAGGAGAAAATGATCGTGGCGGTACTATATGACCAGTCCCTCTTTCCATACAGGGATACAAACCGGAGGAGCCAGGCATGGGGGGAGGTGGCAGAGACAGTGGGTGAAACTGGTAGGTTTTCGCCTGTTTGGGGAGTTTATATCCAGTGTACTTCGTTTGAATGGACAGCTAGCAAGCATAGACAGTATATTTAGCCAGCATGGATGTAGCATGAGCTTTGCTTTGTATGTCCGGGGCGGGACATTCATGTGATTGGTTGTTGGTCGCGTTGACTCCCCAAGCTCAAGACACGCCCACCGCCAAGCGGCAACGCACGCCGCCGTGTGTAGGCTCCGGAAGTTGAACAATGTTCAACTTCTGACGCAAGAGACGCCGGAGTAGCCAGCGCCAGCCAATCAAATCCCGTTTCTGAAAATCTGACAGCTCAAGCCCTAGCCAATCAAACCGCGTCTAAGCTGGGAGAGATATCCCGCCGTTGATTTCTATATTTCAAAAAAAGATGGAGGAGAAACTAATTATCGCCGTAGCAAATCACCTGGTTTTGTATGACCAGACCCTCTTCACCTACCGGGATACAAACCGGAGGAACCAGGCATGGAGGGAGGTGGCAGAGACAGTGGGTGAAACTGGTAGGTTTTCGCCTGTTTGGGGAGTTTATATATATATATATATATTGCTCGCATAAAATCCCCGGGGTTTTTTGCTTTGTATGTCGGGGGCGGGAGATTCATGTGATTAGTTGTTGGTCGCGTTGCTCGAATAAAATCCCCAAGCTTCAGACACGCCCAGCTCCAAGCTTTTTTTTAAGCTGTAGTGTGGACGCTCTGTTACAAAGTAAATTTGAACTGTGGCTATGTATGCATATATTATTATGTACACTTATTTGTATTTACTTTTGTTTGGCCTTAGGATGGCGATAATTGGATGACCATTTTAGTTTTCACTTCATTTCACTGTAAATTGCATGAAATTATGAGCTGTTTTGTTTTAATTTTGTTGTATGTATTTTTATGTATGTTTTGAGTGTGTGAGGACCCCAGGGAGAATAGCCAATGCTCATGCTAGTGCTAATGGGGATCCTAATAAAGACAAAGACAATCAAATCGCATCAACTTCAGTTCGTACTGTATCACCGCCCTTAAAAAGTAGCAAGCAACTGAAGCAAGTGCAATTATGGAGGGTAGAGATTTGGAGTAGTTCATCAAACATAATTGTACTAAACTTCCGCTACAGCAGCAACTAAAAATGAAATCTGATGACAGGCCAATGCCCAAACTGGAGCTGTGTACAGAGAGGAACAAAGGAGCAAATCGGACGTAAAACTTTAAATAATAAAGATTTCTAACATTTGACATTTCATGTGGCCGGACTGGGTCAGTTTCCAGGGCTGCATTTTAGTCACAGTCCACCCCAGCCCACAAGAGCTTGCAAAGAATATAATGCGTATTATACGGTTACATGCCACTTTACATAAGCAGGTTGCCCATAAACTACATGTCCCACAATGCATCTCGTTTTGTGACATGCACACTGAAGAGACTTGCAATTATTTGCCCTGGACTTCTGCTTTCATACATAGTTAATTTCTAAGTTATTATAATGATAATAATCCAATTCAGAGGCAATAATCTAATATAATACATTATTTTATATATATATATTATATATTTATATAGTTACAACCGGCCCTTTGAGTGCAACCTTTATGCGAATGCGGCCCGTGATGAAATTGAGTTTGACACCCCTGGTGTAGACTGTATGTCTATGTATATGTATGTGTATATATGTGTATTTGTATATGTATATGTGTACTGTATGTGTATGTATATATATATATATATATATATATATATATTAGGGCTGTCAAGTTAACGCGTTGATAACGCGTTAACGCAACAAAAAAATTAACGCCACTAATTATTTTAACGCGATTAACGCATGTGTATTTTTTTTCCTCGGTCGCCCCGTAGTTTCAGAGCGCATCGAGTTTAAAATACCATCTACAAGCTGATGCTGACAGCCCCGCTCCTGCTGCCCGCTTGCTGCAGACCACACTTCCACGCTCACCGGCAGGCACCGACTGGCTATCGGGAGGACCGGGAGGGTGTGTGTATGTGTGGCCCGAGCGAGCGAGAGAGAGACCTTACGTGCATTGTTGTTGTTAGCATCTGGTGCTAGCTAGCTGCGCTAACGGATATACGGAGCTGTTTAAATGAAAACAGAGGAGCGACATTTCGCCACAACTGCGCCGAGCACTTGACTTTATGCAGGAAGCCAGACAGTGGGACATTGTACGAAAAGTCAGCACACTCAGCACACTCAGTGCGCAACATGATTGCAGCGTCCAGGCAGCTCCCGTTCGAGCATATGCCTTGAGTTGCACATAGCTCCAACGATCGATCGATCGATCCATCTCACACACACACACACACACACACACACACACACACACACACACACACACACACACACACACCACACACACACACACACACACACACACACACACACACACACACACACACACACACACACACACACACACACACACACACACACACACACACACACACACACACACACACACACACACACACACACACACACACACACACACACACACACACACACACACACACACACACACACACACACACACACACACACACACACACACACACACACACACACACACACACACACACACACACACACACACACACACACACGTTTAATATTCATGAGAATATTTGTCATTGTTCAAATGATAATAAACATTAGCATAAAGCATGTGTCCACATATGTTGATAAGAGTATTAAAAACTTGAAAAATATTCCTCTAAGGTACATTTAGAACAGATAAAAAATGTGCGATTAATTTGCGATTAACTATTTTAATCGACTGACAGCCCTAATATATATATATATATATATATATATATATATATATATATATATATTTCAATCAACAAGTAAAGCAGATTAATAATAATTAATAATAATTATTATTATTTATAGATTATAAATACATAATTTAGGGACAAGGGGGTGAGATTAAATAAATTATACTTCTTCTCACTCCTTTTCAAACACTAGATATGACTGTTTATGTTGTTAATGTTGTTGTTGTTGTAAATGTCACTTTGTTTTGTTTAACATGACTATGCACTGCAACATTTCTTTGTTGTTTGTAATTATTTATTTTAACTTGTTCAAAATAAAATCAATCAATCAGGGGGCACTTTGATTTCACAACTTTGTAGAAAAAGCAGCCAAACAAAGGTGTCCTGTGGTGCAGCTGACCGGATCAGAGAGCTCAAAGTCTGCACTGTTTAACTCTCCATGTACATCCAGGACACCGAATAAAGACCACTATGGACTGTAACGAGCCGTATCATACCGTGTTACTGCAGACACAATCGCATTACCATGTGTGCTTCAGATGCTGCTGGATAGTCATTATTTTCCGGCATAGATATACAAGTTTACTAATGTAATAAATCCTCAAGAAGGAAAGTCCACGTTTGCCCCCGCACTGTTTTTGCAGTGAAGCGTTTGGAGTCACTTAAAGCGGGACCTGTTAGCCTACTGTAAGCTGTCCACTAAGTGCTGCAGATAGAACATTATAGATGAGACAGAAGGAGTTTACCTGCTCGACGCTGCTCTCCTCTCTTTGACAGCGGGGTGGTGCGTCAGGATGCGTGCACTATGGTTCTGGTGAGCTGTAAATCATGGTGTATGAAGCGAAACAATATGGAGGGTTGAGTGGACTGTGTGAGGGGCGTGTGGAAATGCCAGAGGTGCATGATGGGATATGTAGTATTATGCCGATTAAGAACAGTTTAGCGTCTTCAGGCAATAGTATGAAGCTGCAGCGTCGGAGACGACACTTGTAGAACCACACACAGGTCCCGCGTCACGTGACGGGGTCCCACGTGACCCGCGTCACGTGACGTCAACCATATTCTGTTGCACGTTCACATGAATGTTTATATGTATATTCTGTTAATTTAGTTGAGAATTTCAAAAATGAATAAAAATGAATTTCAAAAATATAGTCTTTTATATGTATATTAAACAACACTGTTAATTTAGTTTTGGGTATGTTTATAATTCTCGTTTCATTATTATTCAAAAGAAAACAACACTGTTAAACACTGTTCCTTCTACAGTATCATAAATGTTTGTTTGTATTGCCTTAACACTATCATAGTTAATGTTGGCTAATCACACTTCATTTCAAGACACCGGAAATGTTATTAATGTTAAACAAATAAAACTGTAAAAGCACTTCACATTACTCACATTCTCTGCGTTGACGTTCACATTCATGTGAACGTGCTCCGTCACGTGCCGCCGTGACCTGTGTGTGTGCTCGTGACGCGGGACCTGTGTGTGTGGTTCTACAAGTGTCGTCTCCGACGCTGCAGCTTCATGCTACTCTCTTCAGGTGCTGTAGGGATTGGGCCTCCCCACAACCAGTAAAAGGCTAACATTATTTAGACAACATTCCCCACTGAGAACATCCTGTTTAAAATAAACACTTCCTGCCGGTTTGGTTAACTATTTTACAGTACCCCTACATATACCCGCTCCCCCATTGCAGACAATTAAGGTTTTTAAACACGTTGCAAACAATACCAACACAAGACAAATATATCAGAGATACTGGCTGTACTGGGGTAAACAAACATTTATTGAAAATGTAACGTTGATTTTCAGAAGAATAAATTGGCAATCAGGTGGTTAGAAAATCAAATGGTCCTGCTTCATTAATGTCCATGAAGAAAAACTAAAAGATCGCTGTGCTGAAATCCAACCTACAACTACATATCCTGGATGAAGAAAATAGAAGAGACATGCAGTGTCTTCATCACGCTCATTTTCACCTGCTTTCAAATGGAAATGCAGGCTCTAAAGAAATCAAGGTGCCAAAGCTACACTGCAGCAGAGGATTTGGACATTTGGTCCTACATTACCACAACCGTTCTCAACTTCCACCTCTGCATTTTCTAAAATGTCCCAGCAGCTTACACTGAGCGTACTTTATAGTAACACTATTAGGGGCGGGATCACAATGCCTGAAAAAAACATGATAATAAGATTTTAAAATGGGAAATGTATAATAAAAAATGAAAATCCTGAGAGAATCAAAAATGGACAGTATTAATATCACATCTCTGATATATTAAATCAGCATAGGCAGCCATATCCCGTCTCTCAGACTCCACACTGTGCACTTTGTGTCCAGCAGGCTCAGTCCAGTGCTGCAACAGTTCTTCAATCTGTGTCCATGGAACCGCTGTGTGTCTCCTTGGACACCATGAGTCTCATCAGTTTTCCGTGGAGCTTCTCAATCTTCTTTACGTCCTGGGCCTGGTCTGTCTTGTACTGTAAACACTGTGGGGATGGACAGAAGACAACATGAGAGACAATATTCAATTGAGGCGACAGAATTATGGTTAATGTCATGTACAAGTATAAGTATGTATAAGTCGCAATATCAGAAACATTATTCTAAAATGTGCTCTTCTGCCCGTGCCTTCATGCTGCCTGGAAATTGAGGTCTACTTAATCTTCCTCGACTTCCTCAAGGCCCATCAGTCTAAGCTTTTTAACAGAAATGTAAAAATAATACATTTAGCATGAGTTATTGTAGACCACTCATGGCCTCACTCACCACAGCGTTGTCGGTCACTTTGATACACAGGTTTCCGTCGCAGTGTCTGTACTTTAGAACCACCCGAACCTGGACACGGTGAAGTTAAAGTCAAAGATCAGAACCACTTAAACATCTAAACATGACACAGCTTTGGCTGCTGGGCACATTCTCTAGCCACCGAGCTATCCAACTAACACTCGGTCCTTAGCATGCTAAGCTACTTCACATGTAAAGTGTTTCACCTTCATGGGATCTGTCAGATACAGCTTCTCTGCTGCGCGGGAAAACTCCTCCCAGGTCTGATAATAAGGCATTATCAACAAAGTACAGTGGCTATTTTTTTATAATTATAATAAAACAGTAATATTGTTCTGAATGTGTCGACAGCTCTGCTAACAGAAGACCACATCAGCACTAGTGTGAACACAGCCAATCATCTCCTTCTTCTTCTTCTTCTTCTTCTTTTGCTTTAATGGCGGTCTACAACCCAACGTGTAAAGGTGCATGCTGCCACCTACTGACCGGAGTGTGTCAAGACTGAAAGACAATTTATTTAAATTATCAAATTAAAGGAAACGTTTAAAAAATAAATAATAATTCTACTAAATAAAGCCCTTTTAGTGGAACTTCTCCCAGCTCCACTTGGACCAAACATAATCTCTTCTGGGGTTAACGTTTCAAAATAAAAGCCTGTTATCCATGAATTGTGAAGTGTCTTGTATTGTTGAGGAATATTGAATAGTGAATACAAATCAAACATATGGCTGACTTATTTGGTAAATCTAATTTTGTGTTTTTGAACCGCTTATCTATGGAATGCCATTCAAGCCTAAATTAAATAAATACTTACATAAATACTTAAATAAATACATATATCAATACATATGCCTATGAAATAAATATGGTTATGAAATAAATAAATAAATGAGGCAATAAATATATAAATGTATGTAATGTGTGTATTTATTTCAAGGGACTTTTATTTCATAATGCCACATGTATTAATTTCAGGGGACTTTTATTTCATAATGCCACATGTATTAATTTCAGGGGACTTTTATTTCATAATGCCACATTTATTAATTTCAGGGGACTTTTATTTCATAATGCCACATTTATTAATTTCAAGAGACTTTTATTTCATAATACCACATTTATTTATTTCCATTTCTTATATTCAAATGAACGGGGCGTGGTTACATCACAGATCCAGACCAAAGCAACAGCACCACAACACTGACTCACAAGCTGTGGTTGCAGTCGAAAATACAAATGTATTTATTATAAATGTTAGTCCTTAACCTATCACTGTGTATATCACCATTACAACATCTTTTAAAAGTTTAAGAAACCCCACACAGCTGACTGAACTGATTAAACACTATTAAATGTTGACTTTATTTGATAATTTCAGTAAAAAGGTAACGTTCATATTATTATAGTGTTGAACGTTCAAAACAAAGCACTTCGGCAAGTTACCACATCAAAATGCGTAATAAGCACCGTAACTTTCATGATACTAATTTATCGGTCATAATCGGTTGTTTCCGTGAACGGCCGAATGTTGTGTGACGGCAAATGCTGCATTGTGGGGCAGCATTTTCTCAAACCTCCTTTCCTATCATCTAGAGAGCGGGGTGTCAAACTCAAATACACAGTGGGCCAAAATTAAAAAATGGGTACTAGTCGAGGGCCGGACTGGTTCAATGTTTATTTCAAAACTTATTGAAATGAGTGTGTTGCACATATTAAACCTGGAACTAACAAAGCTTAAATTATTGCCTATAAAAACAAAACATTAAATAATCAGTTGCATTCATTTCTTATGACTCTATCTGCAGAGTCATTTCTTATGGCTCTATCTGCAGCTTTTCCAAAGTCATTTCTTATGATTACATTTTTCCACAGGCCAACAGCAGCTTAAAAAAAACAATTTCCCTCAAAGAAAAAACCAAACATGCCCTGTTGTCTCAAGAAAGAAAGTGCAGAAGGAAACATCCATTCAATCAATCAATCAATGTTTATTTATATAGCCCAATATCACAAATGTTACATTTGTCTCAGTGGACTTTACAGTTTGTACAAAATATCAGTATGACAATATGACACCCTCTGTCCTTAGACCCTCACATCGTACAAGGAAAAACTTCCAAAGAAAACCCACAGTTTAAAGTGAAAAATGGGAGAAACCTCAGGGAGAGCAACAGAGGAGGGATCCCTCTCCCAGGACGGACAGACGTGCAATAGATGCCGTGTGTAAATTGAAAAGATAATACATTTGCAACATAGGTAGTCCAAATGTTTGGAAATGCATGTGTGTATAATAGGAAAATGAATCCACGAGGATATCCATCCAGGACCTATGATCCAGGACCACAGCCACGACTCAAGATCCAGGGCTCGCGATCCAGGACAGAGGAGCGCAGGATCATCCATGACTCCGGATCCCGGCGTATATAGACACCAAAAAGAAAGACATTTGGGGAAGCTGGGTTAATCGGAACATGAGAGTACACAGGTATAGACAGAGAGAAGGAAGAAGTAAGATGTCCCCCGACAAACTAAGCCTATATCAGCAAAACTAGGGGCTGAATCTAATCAGCCCTAACTATAAGCTTTATCAAAAAGGAAGGTCTTAAGCGCACTCTTAAAAACGGATAGGGTGTCTGCCGCCCGAACACAAACTGGAAGCTGATTCCACAAATGTGGAGCTTGATAAGAAAAGGCTCTGGCTCCCATTGTACTTTTAGAGACTCTAGGAACAACCAACAACCCTGCATTCTTGGAACGCAATGCCCTAGTAGGACAGTAGGGTATAATGAGTTATTTGAGGTAAGATGGCGCCTGCCCATTAAGGGCTTTGTAGGCGAGAAGAAGAATTTTAAATTATATCCTGTGTTCTATAGGGAGCCAGTGTAAGGCAGCCAGAACAGGAGTAATGTGGTCCCTTTTCCTAACTCTGGTTAGTACACGAGCTGCAGCATTTTGAATCAGCTGAAGTGACTTGACTGACTTCTTGGTACACCCTGATAATAAAGAGTTACAATAATCCAGCCTTGAAGTAACAAATGCATGGACTAGTTTCTCTGCATCGTTTTGAGGCAAGATATGCCTGATTTTTGCAATGTTACGTAGATGGAAGTAGGCGGTCCTTGAAATTGATTTTATGTGGGCGTTAAAGGATAAATCCTGATCAAATATAACACCAAGATTCCTTACAGTCTCACTGGAGGCCAAATTAATGCCATCCATAGTTAGTGTATCCTTAGATAATTTGTTTCGTAGATTCTTCGGGCCAAGTACAATAACTTCAGTTTTGGTCGTGTTTAACATCAAAAAGTTTAAGGTCATCCACGTTTTTAAGTCCTTAAGGCAGTCTTGAATTGTATTTAGATGATTAATTTCATCAGGCTTGATTGATAAATATAGTTGAGTATCATCCGCATAACAATGAAAGTTTACAGAATGATTCCTTATAATATTGCCTAACGGAAGCATATATAATGTGAACAAAATAGGTCCGAGCACTGAGCCCTGTGGCACTCCATGGCTAACTTTGGTTTGCGTGGAAGATTCATCATTGACACGTACAAACTGAGAGCGTTCAGATAGATAGGACCTAAACCAGTCTAAAGCAGTTCCCTGTATGCCAACTAAGTGCTATAGTCTTTGCAATAAGATATCATGGTCGATAGTATCAAATGCAGCACTGAGATCGAGCAAAACAAGAATAGAGACACGTCCCTTGTCAGAGGCTATTAGAAACTCAGTTTGCTGCTCTGTGATGCTAGTTCAAGCCAGATACTTGGCATCTCATCTTGGGTGCAGGCTCTGAGCTGAGAAAACCCTCAGGATTAAGAGAAGGTGTGCGCGCAATATACCGGCGGGCCAGATCTAATAGTAATTAGAAATTATCCTGCGGGCCGAAATTAAATCCACCAAGGGCCTGATTTGGCCCCCGGGCCTTGAGTTTGACACATGTGATCTCTAGAGAATTTGAACAGCTCTTATCATGGCTGCCACTGAGGTACTTCATTTGACTGCAGCCTTAGATTATGACCGATAAATTAGTATCTTTAAAGTTAAGGTGCTTATTAAGCATTTTAAAACGGATGTGGTAACTTGCCAAAGAGCTTTGTTTTGAACGTTCATCACTATAATAATCAAAAGGCGAAATATATCGCTCTAATCGCTCGTGTTTCACCGCGGCTATCAGCTGTGTTTACTCGCATCATTCAAACAAGACGCGCTGGCCAGGGGGCAGGGCTTATATTCATGTAAATACTATGGTAGATACCAACGACAACAACATTAACATATTTTACTGAGATTTAATTGTAATACATGTTTAAAAATGATGCCGAAGTAAAAACATACTGATACCGGTTAGTAAAAACCATGAATTAATGCTTTGAGAAGTGTGCAGACAGGACAGCAGGCGAAAAACCTTTTAAAATGCGTGTTTTCTGAATAGAGATTGGATCGATCAGGCCAAGCTAACGTTGTATCTGCTCCGTCCACACTCACAACAACATGATACAGACACAGATACAACAGTGACTGTATTCCCCATTACAGAGACAGTCTGTGTTTTGTACTTGTTTAACTTCTGTCTAGTTTCTGAACAGATATGAGGAGCTGTGATCTCTGAGGGCTAACAGCTAACGGCTGATGTTTTGGTTTTCTGATTCAACGTCAGTGATGGCAGGCTGAGATCTTCACCGCTGATTGGCTTCCGCGAGAAGCCCCTTTGGAGCCACATGCAGCAGAGCTGCAGAGAGAAGAGAAGGCTGATAACTCAACAGATTGTCAGCTAATTGCTGCTGTGATTAAATGCCACATCATGTTCCAAACCAATTCAAGGATTATTTCTGAAACAGTATGGAGCTCAAATGCTTTTTCTCCACAAGGGTTTACCACAAGGTGAGTTCCTTTTTTTATATCCCGCTTTTTTACACATAGGCTACTCTCTCCAGTACAGGTTAGCTCTGAGTGTTAGCCATGCTTGCTAATGTAAACAAAGACCACATTACGTCCAAAACACGTCGCGCATTGTTTCTGATAGCAACGTTTCTGATTGGGCCGTGGGTGTAAAGCCAGCCCACGGGTTAGGGGGCAAAAAAAAAATCCATTCCCCTCAAGAACAGCGTGCTAATGTGCACGCCAATTTATGCTGAGTAGCATACTCCTTTTTAATTGACATCCTGTATTTCTAAATGTGTTACATTCTGCATCAGTTCTACATGCTCTACTGATTCCTCCTCTTGACATTCCTCACACAATCCTGTCTGGTGTTTTCCTATCAATCTGAATGTATTGTATTGTAATCTCAACATAGTCAACACGGTTTCTTCTCTCCTATAACGTCGGGTTACGTATTGTAACCCTTGTTATATTAGCACAGGCGGAGCCCTCTACTGGACTCTATGGGTACTACCTTATCATGCAAGCATTCACCTACTGAGATTTCTATGGACGTAGCCGGCCC